TGCTGCGCTAAACGGTGGCTTTTAAGAATCAATGGGCCAGGGCCTTAATGAACGTCTTATTGCAGTGAATGATAATAAATTATCAAATGAAAATGAAATGGAATGGCCGAAATCACAGCATATGGGCAAAATTTAATTGCAACATATGTTTTGAGGATTTCGGGAAGAGGGAGTGGGGTCAACGACGCCAAGGTCAACCAATTTTCAAGGTGGGTGGGCCAGCAATTTAAATGTCCTCACCCAACTTTTTCAGCATCGATCTGTGCTTACCTAACTTCTGTAATACCCAAACCATGCTTGCCGATTTACGATGTCCACAACCATTTTCTTAAATACACTAGACGTCATTGCTTCACGTTGTAAATGACAGCATCATTTGCTACCACGTACCGCAGGCGTATGTAAATGTTTTTGAGTAAAATCCAAAACACTCTAGGACACAAAGCTACGTTGTCTGTTTTTGGCCTCGAGTTTCCTGGCCGTCCGCCTACGGTACCTTCAGGATAGCTTCGTGAAGTTTCCGATGGATACGTCAGCGGCATTTAGTGTACCCCGGCCTTTCGGGAGTAAGGTTATGCGTATCCTACAATACTAGTGTTTCATGCAACCTTTGTCAAATTAGCACTGTTACGCCACCTGGCTGAACACGTTAGGCGTTACATGACCTACGCACGAGAACGCAGGCGATTATTAGTCACCAATACCACGGTTTTTTTCCTGACGGATGCATTCAAAAATATTTCACAATTTAGGAAGGATACGTCAGAGGCACTTGCAATCCAACGTTTCAGACAAAAGTTAGGTGTTTCATAAAGCGCCAACGTTCCAGTCTCATAATTACTTAGATTGTGTTCGGGCTGCTGTACCTAATGTAACGCCACTTTTATCATTTGTTCATCACATCATCATGTTTTCTGTAATTTGCACTGACGTCATTCATACCAGTCAGGTGCTTCCTTTAGGCCTGCAGACCCGCATTATGCGGATTAAAACGATGCAAAATTCGTAGCTCTAGCCCGTAACAGCTAACGACAGCCCTCAGTACAATTTGCCGTCGTCCGTTGACGCAGACTAGGACTTCACTCTCGGGCTACAGTAAAAGGAAGAAGTGTAGTGCTGTAATAAAGCGACGGCGTAATTTAGACTTCGAAATGAAATTAAGCCCATTATATCTATCTGCTGTAGGGCACTACCCAGTGCTATTCTTACACGTCACGGGTGCTGAGGTTTCACCAGAGCATCTTTCGCAATCTGCCATAAAGGTGGGACACTGCCTCGAATGGATGCAGGACATGTTGCGCGTTTGCATTTAGTGGCCTCTATCAGTACGGACTGACAGCATATTGCCAGCTCTGTAGTGAGTCCCAGCTGGTTGGAAATCCAACATCCATCTATACGTATTATGTTCAGAAACATCACGAGCCACTGAGAAGGAAATATACTCAGCTGGCAATGCGCCGCTCAGGTACAAACAGCGCCAACGTGGGAGCGCTGCGAGGCGCCCGCCGGTGAGCGCTGGCATTACTTAATTTTGAAGTGAAAGATGATGTATCCCGCCGCTTTCTGATGATCGCTGGTGCTGTGTGGTCTCAACCAATGGTTTTATATCTTAATTTTGTGCAGTTTTTTACATTGTCCATAAGCGCCAAAATGTTGATCAGGATAATGGAAACACAAGGCTACAAAGATGAAAAATGAAAATTATTAGTCTAAGCGATCACAGTGGTACTCACATTGAAGAACACGGCGTCGGGACCGGCGCCTATCTAAACATATATTTGGGTATTTTTTTGTAACCCCGAGATATTGTCTCAAACATACACAGCTGATATTTTCTGGAAATCTTGACCTTTGACCTGCCATAATGGTGCAAAATTTCGACGTGTCAGCGTAAAACTATTACCAATCGCGGTCTTGTTGAAGCCAAGCAACTGGTGTCTCCCGCTAAAGAACGTCCTTTTTCACTTGGAGACGGTACGGTGGGGTTTGTCGCATCGCCTAAATCACTCTGTTATGAAAAAGCTACGAATTCGGGCGTGGGTCAACGCATGCCCTGTTTGCGAACAAAATTCATGACGCATTTTTGAAGACAATGACATGAGACGACGTTTTCCTTGAGAATACACTAGGACTTACTGGTACGTTCCGAACACAAATCCACGCACCCTAGCTCGCCAGCCGCCTACCTACAACACGGCATGCATTGAGCGGGGCGCGCAAAGTGAAGGCACGCAACGCGGTTATTTAAACAACAGCTACCACAGTCCTGTAAATCGTAAACAAAGCAAACAACCCTTTTTCGTGACGAACAGCGCAAACAGGGAAGCCGAGTATGTAAACACAGACCACGTGACACGACCTGCATATCACGCATGCGTGAACAGGCGATTGGAGCGTACCAGCTGACGTTGCCTAGCAACCAGCTAGACGCTCGTCGGCTTTTAAGGCAGTGCGAGGGCGTATGGAATCGTATTAGCGGTCGGAGCACCTCCGCCGTTGGTTCGCGTGAATAATGGAACTGCGCTGCAATTGAGGAGGATCCTCCACCGTCCTCAAATTCGGTGAGTAGGATCGGGATAATGGTTGCCTTCCTGTGCGATGAACCCACCTGCCACGCAAACCCCCAGGGGATTCGTCCCAGTACGATAAAAACAATTCCGCGTCAGCTGATGATTGGTCTTTCACTACGAAGATATTCAAGCCATAGCCGCGGAACAAAGCAAGACTGCTAAACCAAAACTGCCGTTTGGCACGAAGATATCTTGCTCTTTTTCATGCCTGCACAAGGAAATAACGACAAGGCTGCTGTCTTTGCGTCCACAAAACAACAAAAATGCTGCTCATTTCTATACTAGTGTGTTATGTTGGCCCAGGTCTTTAAATGAGCTGTCATCGCGACGATAGCCTTACATCTTCCTTCAGGTAACCTATTTATGTATATTTGCGTGACATTTGACACGGGGTTCAAGAAACTTATCAGCTTATCAAGAAAGCCTATCAGCGTTCATGAAGCTCACCCGCAGTTTGATTTTAGAGACGGTGCCTGACGTGCATCTCCAAAGGTTTCGTGAGTGTACTTAAGGTTTCCCACAATGACAGTACGGCTGTAGCCAATGGCCTTGTGTGTATTTTGAATGTGTTGCAGAAGATGCTCCCTAAATCGGTCAAATTCTTTCAAATGGCTAGAGTACGAATTTGCCTTCCGAATGTTTGGTTGCCCATAACTCTCCCGGGTTACCTTAGCTTGTCCAGTTTTCCTTAGTCTATACCATTGTACAGCTGATTGCCCCTCTTTCGATTGCACAAGTGCCAGCAATTTAACATAGGTATTACCGACTAATTAGTTTGAGATATTCATGACCTGGTAGATATGTAGGGCGTTGTCATAAATCAGCAATTGGTTGAAAAGGAAATAGGGCCCTTAAAGTGTGAAGTCTTGATTAAACGCTGGTGCTCGAGCGCGCGTTCAAAGCATGTTTTCCGTTATTGGTTTCCGTCTTGTTTTCCGTCATTGCCGTCAACAGTCAAAACACAATCGACTTCGCGTTTTTTTTTTTTTTTGTTCTACGCCTTAAAGGGACGTCATCACAGGCATGTAGCAACTGTTTAATGTATGTCTTACTCGATTACCCGTGGTAACATCATCATTAGCAGGTCTGTGATCATCGTGGTGTTATGAGGAGTAGGGAAAACGCTCCCAGGTTTTTTGTTATTTTTATATTGCTCCCAGAGGCGTTATCTGAACCACGCATGACTAGCGTTATTTGAATGAATTATTCGGTCAGACAGTGACGTCCACGTCCGCTGCTTGTCGGTTCTTAATGCAGACCTTATTGACCGCGTGCACCACATTCACCGACATTTTTTTGCTTTCGCAAATAATCGTTGGCAGGGAGGTAATATCAGCGAAACGATCGGCGGGCACAATTCAGACACCTTTACACTCATTCGAAACTTTCGTTCAAAAACTTCCAACATGTTTAGTTACGCGTGTACCAGTATATTGAACCAACTGATGAGGGGGGGGGGAGTTCGCATTCGCAAGGGGAAGGGCGCGTTCGCGAAGTGATTCCCGCGGAGACCACTTCGCGAATGCGCCCCTGGTGATCGCCCGCCTGTTCTGACCACCCCTGTACACTCCTGACGCGCTGTTTCTCGTGTGCTATCCGCAGGAGACTCGGATTGAGTCATGGCGGCCTTAATGTCCGACCCGTTCGGTCACGGAGCACCTGGAGGGAAGTAAGCCGTGCTTTTCAATAACGCCTCAATTGTGCAGTCATGTTTGCGGGTTGCATGCGTACGTAGAACGCTGCATGAACGATGTATACAGCTCAGCCTAATCGCTTCTCAGAGCTTATCCTCCACGAACAGCCTGGTTTCTGCTTCTATGCTGTCAACCCAATGCGCGGGAGTTTGCGTTCATTGCAATGGCCACTCAGGACTACGCTCAGCGTTACAAGCTTGGCATTAAAGACGTTATGAGCGCCGCCCGTGTGCAGTGAAATGCCACGCGAATGTTTTGTTTGTTTTGTTAAGGAACGGGATGCATGCCGCCACGTCCCTTTTTTGGACCGCCAGCGATTACACTGGTTGCATCAGCGCCCAGAGGCCAAGGCGCTACCGGGATTCGAAGCCGGGCTCGCCCACGTAAGAGTTCGGTGCGCTAACTAGTCGGTCATTACGCCCCCCCCCCCCCCCCCTCTCGCGAATTTTGTGACGCATCGTGCCTGCAGGCCCAAATATAATGCTGCCTATTCCCAAGAAGTCGTAACATTTGTTAATTCCGTTGCCGTTTACAGGGTCTCCGCGCTCTTCTCCAAGGACACCAAGTCTATGGAAGCGCTTCATGGTAACATGATCGGAATCCAGTGAGCACTTGCTGGAACTGTGCGTGCTGGGTGGCGAGGCCGCGGCACTGCTGCTGCCTGTGTAGTTCGTGACGCGTCGCCGGTGCACATCTATTCGGTTTGCACTCAGCTTCAACACACTTTCAGATTTATATGAAACACTGGTATGGAGCCTACTACATACGATGCAAGTGAAAGGCTATGTTTGTTGCGTCAACTTAAGAGTTTGAATTGGCTCCAGAACCTTTCAAAATGTTTCGCACTGCCATTACAGCGCTGTCACACATAGCATCCATGCTACGCCATACATATATAGTCGCTCGTTTTCGGTGCCAGGCTCCTACTGACTGGGCGAGGCCAATGTGTGCAGGTGGATGGGCGGCCCACTCTCGTCGGCCGCGCAGTACATGGACGAGGCGACTGTGGCCGTGTTGTGCGGCTCGCACGTCCGCTTCACGTGCGCCGGCTTCTCACACTCGGAGGTGTTCTCACCGCCGGCTCGAGGCGTGTCGACGCTAGCCACCAACGGCGAGGACCTGTTCGCCGTGTCGGAAGTGTGCTTGCGTCCGGCCATCATCGTGTTCGAGTACCCGGAACTCTCCCAGTACAGCAGGCTTGAAGGTGAGCTGTACTAGAGGATGTGCCACTGCCCGGAGCTCTCCCAGTACAGCAAGCTCGAAGGTGAGCTGTACCAGAACGTGTTCGAGTACCCGGAGCTCTCGCAGTACAATAGGCTCTAAGGTGAACTGTACCGTAACGTGTACCAGTACCCGGAGCTCTCCCAGTACAGAAGTCTCGAAGGTGAGCTGTACCAGAAGGTGTACTAGTACCCGGAGCTCACACAGTACAATAGGCTCTAAGGTGAAGTTAACCAAAACGTGTAGCGGTACCCGGAGCTCTCCCAGTACAGCAAGCTCGAAGTTGAGCTGTACCAGAAGGTGTACCACGACCTGGAGTTCTCACAGTACGGCAGACGCGGAGGCGAACTGTACCAGAAGGTATACCACCACCTAGAGCTCCCACAGAGCAACAGGCTCAAAGGTGAGCTTTACCGAGGGCGTACCAGTTCCAGAAGCTCTCACACTGCAACGGGCTCCAAGGTGAGCTGTACCGAAGGTATACCAGTACCAGGAGCTCTTGCAGTGCAACAGGCTCCAAGGTGAGCTGTACTAGAAGGAAGCCACCACATAGAGCTCTTACAGTGCAACAGGGTCGAAGGTGAGCTATGCCAAAGGTGTACCAGTACCAGGAGCTCTCACAGTACAGCAGGCTCGGAGGTGAGCTGCACCAGGTGTACCAGTACCCGGGATACAGCAGGCTCGAAGATGAGCTGATACGAAGCCGTCTGGTGTGCACGATTTAGCTCTACTGCTAGTGGGGTTACATCAACGAATACCTATATTTAACATGATAGTCACGTGCATTCAATGGGTTATGTGGTGTCCACGTGAATGCATGGTAGTACAGTTAAAACGCGTGCGAAGAAAGTATGTCCCATTATTTACACCCAATGCGAAGCAAGGATTGCGCTGAAAAACATGCAAAGTATCACCCGGACGCTGGCATAATGAACAGGGCAGAGCAAGCCAGCGGTCTTCACTTTTATTATGGCGGTTTAGCACCGGGTTAGCTCTGTTTGCGGCAAATGAGGTATCAGATGTCGTTTTACCTGATGGCTTCCGGAACACTTATGTTTGTCCTGCACGTCCCAGTTCAGTACGATATGCATAGATGTATTTAACCCCGCTGGTACTACCATACATGGCGTATAGCTTGCTTTGTAGCTTACTTTGACGACCCCGGTAACCCATCAGTTTCCTTTAGTTGGTCTCTTTCCTTGCTGACAGGGGGCCATACACTCAGGTCTGAGCCGGTGTCCACCAAGTTGCCCTTCGTGTTGCTTGTGGGATAATGCCGTTACATGTTGCGCTGGTAGCAGTGCTGTGGCTCTCTGCTCATGTGCGTGTGTACCACCTTGTCCCATGCTCAGACGGTGCCGAGTTGGAGTACCTGTGCGTCGCCTTCTCACCCTCTTCCGAGCGGCTGGCGGCCTTCTCCGGTGTGCCCGACCACACCATCTTCCTGTGGGACGTCAGCTCACAAGTTATGATCGCCAAACTGCCGATGGGGTTCGCCCACTCACCACAGCTTTCATTCTGGTAAGGGTCGCTCAAGGGACGATGAGAACAGGCGTTGCGCTTAAAATGAGTGCTCCGCGTTTGTATGAGACTTCGAACTGAACTGGCCATCCCGAAGGTCATGCGGCGCGGCTCACAGCTTCCCCAGACCCAAATTCCTCCAATTGCGGAGCAACATGCACTCTTCAGGGCTTCCAAGGTGACCTGAGTACCATGACGGGATAATGACACCGCTCAAGTCCTGACACTCAGCTGGACATGCGGCGTACGAAGTAAACAGATGCCTGTCGCGTAACGACGACTCAAGAATAATGGGATAGATGCGTAATGTAATAGTTTGCTTAAATGTGTTGCGCCTCGCAGCTCATGTTACGTTCTGCGCTACATATATCAGAAGTTACACATTCTTCCTAGTCATTGCGAAAGTAACACATGTAATCGAATATCTCAAGAATATGGCTATCCGAGCATGTGAATATAAACAGACATAAAACATCATGGATAGATATTCAAGAACATCATGAGAAACGGCCAAAACATGGACGCATGGCGATAATTGGCTCAGCAATCACCTCCAGGCCATGTTGCCATCTCTCGGGAAAATGAAGAGCTACAAGTGAGTGTTGTCATGCAAATGCTCCATGACGCAATCAAGCAATGGCGTGCTGAGGAGCATATTTAGCAAAAAGAGGGATTTTGTTGTCTAGAGCAATGTTTTCGACTTAAATGTATACCAGTAGTAGCAAGTGAGCTAATGCCATCGTATCTGATCCTTATCACAATATCTTCAAACTTGGAACAGTTCGCTTAAAGGGAGTGCTCGACATTTGTATTGAGTTCTGAACTGAGATAGCAGTGTGGAGAATAACAAAGTGTAGTTCATAGCCCTGCCCTTCTGAAGGGCAGGGCTATGAGGGCTGTTAGGTTTCTGACCCAGACACCCGCGGATTTGTGCAGACTATGTCGTGTTGACTATTTCAAGGTCGCCCAGGCGTGCATGACACTATAGAAACGTCACTCAAATACTGCCACCCCATTGGTTTTGCGGCGTTCAATGACAAGACAAAGAACCGTCAAGTTATACGGCTCTGGCGTACGTTATCACAATTTCTGGGACTGGCGGACTTCAGTTGGCTCTCAAACATTTTTATGCATTAAGTGCATGTTTCAAACACGGATCGCAGTGTGTTTGCTAGGCTGTATAGGAATTTGGACTGCGGCGCGAGGTGTTACGGAAGTACGATTTGTAATCGGCAAACTTAAGAAAAGCAACATTACCGAACATGTGAACGCGAATTAAACATGATAAAATAGCGGACTAATTTGCAAGAAAGCCACGAGAAAGGGCTAACACACGCCTACACAGTGAAATTTGAGTTCTGGATATGCCGCACTCACTACCAGGACACCTCGAGAAGTTGAAATACTTCAAGTGAGTGAGCCCATCCGCGGGGGTGATAATTTCACACGGCCAGTGTGGCAGCCCTCCGGCGTCATACAAATGTTTCATGATGCAATCAAACGATGAGATATTGAAAAGCATGTTTAATAACTAGTGGAATTGTGTTTACTGAGCAGCCTTGCACTTGGAAGAATACTCTTGGTTACCAGGTAACTTATTTCACCATACGTGATATTTGCCTCAATATCTATAACTGTTGGAGGCTCCTTTAGATGACGCCACTGCACTAAATCATGGTGTCTCTTGTCTCACAACGACTGTCACACGCGTTCTGGAATCGTTTCCTGGCTGGAATATGCTATTGTAGTGCACTCATGAGACGATACTTGCACATCGGCATCGTGTGGATTTTGCTGTATTAATAACGTAGACTAACGATACAAATGGCTTCGGGTCGTCGCTTCCGAAACAGCCCGTTCCGGGTCTCAAGATCCAGGAGTTGTTCGCTGGCCGCCGATAACGGCCTGCACAGCACACTCAGCTTAGGCCGTGAGGTTGGCCGCGCTCCGTGTGGGCAGTATCTTTTGAGACGTTCTGTGTCTGCAGCGGCACCGTGCGGCACTAGTGCGGCTGATTGGTAGCCTCTCGCTATATTGATCACGCGGGCGGGCCGGCGGACCAGTGTCGCCCAGATGGCGCGCTGCTGGCCGACCGACGGACGTCCGGTGCAGGCAGCCGGCCGACCGGCGGACATCCGGTGCACGCTGCCGGCCGACCAGCGTACATCCGATGTACTCTGCCGGCCGACCGACGGGCGTCCGGTGCACGCTGCCGGGCGACCGACGGACATCCGGTGCACGCTGCCGGCCGTCCGGCCGCCCGATGCTGATGTCGGACATTGCCGGCCCCAAGAGCGGCGGCCGGCAGGGGCGCTCGTATTGTGTGACTGATGAGAGCAAAGGTCGAGCGGTCAGCAGATTCCTTTGGCTCCAGCTTAAAACGAAACAATGGTTCAGTTGGAAGTTTGAGCGGTAAGGCATCAGTGCACGGTGACGATTTGTGCATTCGTCGGTGTGATGCAAATCTGTTAGCATAACATGCACGACCGTTGGCTGTGGGATATTGTTGGCTGTCATACAACCGTTGGCTGTCTGAACGAATGCTTGTAAAATATGATTGTTGGTTTAAGAAAATGTTATAGGGCACAATCTCAAATCACGTTGAATCTCTGTTCATGCGGCGTGCCGTCAGCTGGCAATGGTATTAACGAGCGCGTAAACAATGGTCCTCCTTTACTTTTGTATTTCATGCATGCTTTCATGATAGCTTGCATTGGTGGCGTTGAGTTCATATCATTTGCTAAATCGCTGGTTGCCTTTGCGCGGAATCTGTCATCCGAGTTGGATCGATCCAGATTATCGGATATTCTTTTTTGACCAGCCCTTCACGACACGGGGCCGAGTTGACCCCCTGATCAGTTGGCAACAAAGCCTTATGTGTCGGTCGGGCCGAAGGTTCGCCCGCCCTCAGAGACGTTACATGCGCTGCTGGGTGACAGGCTCAGCGCCTAGTTTCCAGGAAACAACTGAGACGGTTTGACTTTTTTCGATGCTGTGCGCTGCGGTCACTCTACACGGACTGCATGAAACAACCACGCTCTGCAAAAGCAACTGTTGTTTGTACAACGGTATGTTTTATCTGCAGCAGGTGTTGTGGCCAGACGCGCGCTGTCTCCTATGCGGTATTGCATTGTATTGAAGGACGGCCTTGCTTCTCACTGTATCAATGCACGGAACGCTGAATCCTGCAAGGTTCTAGCTTCGGAGCCTGCCCTCTGCGTAGTCCTCCTAGCTTCGAAGCCTGCCCCCTGCGTGGTCCTCCTAGCTTCGGAACTTGCCCTCTGCGGGACCCTCCTTACTTTGGAACCTGCCTCCGCGTGGTCCTCCTAGCTTTGGAGCCTGCCCTGTGCGCGACCCTCCTAGCTTCGAAGGCTGACCTCTGCGTGGCCCTCCTAACCTCGGAGCCTGTCCCCTGCGTGGTACTAGCTCTGAGGCTTGCCCTCTGCGTGGCCCTCGTGACTTCGGGACCTGCCTTCTTTGTGACCCTCCTGACTTTAGAGCTCGCCCTCTGCGTGACCCTGCTGACTGGAGCCTGCCCTCCGAGTGGCCCCCCTGACTGGATCCTGTCCTCTGCATGGTCCTGCTGACTGGAGCCTGCCCTCCGCGTGGCCCCCTGACTGAATCCTGCCCTCTGCGTGGCCCTCCTCGCGTTGGGACCACATTTGAATGCTCCAGGACCTCGTCACAACCATAACATTCACCGACGATCATATGTTAAGAAACAGACAGCTGCCGTGCAACTCAAGGACAGTCTTTATGTGTGCTCATTTCGTATTCCTGCCACGAAGATGCTGATATGTGGGGACCAGGACACAGCGGCAGGGGATCTGATGGCGTGCGTCGATGCCTGGAGCATGGCCAATGCTTCCCGGCTCTGCGGCTGGGCCTGTCAGCCGGCGTGTGACTCTGCCAGCGGGTCAGGGTGACGCGGCGCTGGCCGGCTGACAGTGACCTGGACACGCCCCACCTGGCGCTCACCTCGGAGGCGGGCGTGACCATCATCCAGATGGAGCACTTCGGCGCCGAGTGGCGACTGACGCCGCGCACCGCCCACCTGGACCGCGTCAGGTCACACTGCTGGTCCGTCGACGGCGACCTGTTCTGCTCACGGCGCGAGACGGTGCACCAGGTCAGTGGCGGCACACGGGCGTGGTCAGCCACGCGGCAGGTGTGGTGCCGTCCGCCGCGCGCCGGACGGCTACGGCGGTACGGGACGGACGAGTACGGCGGCACGAGACGGACGGACGGATACGGCGGTACGGGACGGACGGATGCGGTGTTGCGGGACAGACGCATACGGCGGCACGAGACGGACGGACGGATACGGCGGCACGAGACGAACGGATGGGTGCGACGTCACGGCACGGACAGATACGGTGTTGCGGGATGGGCGGATACTGCAGTACGGAACGGACGGAAGCGGTGTTGCGGGATAGATGGACACGGTGGGGTTAGATTATGACTACTTTTTCATTTTTCGCCGGTAATGTCGTCTGTTTGTTCCTTCCGCTTCTTTGGTTTTGGGACCGTTGGGATGCTGTGCTTGTAGCGAAATAAATGAGGCCATGGGTGTAACTTTGCTGTAAATTGAGGGTGCGGCTGCATTTCCGGCGTTTCCAAAAAAAAACAACAACAAAAAAAACAATAACGCCGGTTCTATGACGTTCCCAAACAAGAATGAACCCCAAAGTGCGATTTGCACTCCCAACACTTATCAGATTCTTTTACCTCAGAATGAGGTGTTCGGTGATCAATTTTCACGCTACTTTTGCATCTACTGAAATTTCTGGCTTGTGATGCCATGTGTTATGTTGAGACACTCTGCTCCATTTTGTTAGGTGATATGAGCCAACTTTGGGAACGTTGCCTCCGAACATCTTGACTAGTTCATACCTTGCTGCAATTTCGGATGTTTCCAATGCAAGAAACTTTGTCAGTACTCAAACGCGTTACTTTCGGTGCAACAGCTGACACGGTGCTCAGCCGGGCCAATAAGCCGGGCGATAAATCATCACTCCCAGATGCCGAGGGCCGCCGCCGCCTGCTAAATAGCGAAGGATGTTATAACGTAGCCATGCGACTTTGCTCAAGAAGACGTCCGCCGCTTTTCGCTGAGTGCCGGGTATAAATCACCTCAGTCGCGACTTGCAGCAGACGTTTCTGATGACGACCATTTGTTATATGAGAAACAAGGTCAAACGCGCGGCGGATATGCTTGAGTAGACGTCTGCCGCTTTTCGCTGAGTCTCGGGTATAAATCACGTCCTCCGCGTCGGTGGCGTCAGTCATGCCGTGCTGTCCGCCTGTGGTTAGGCGGGTAACGCCACCATGGCGGTGGTGAGTTCCATGCCCGCCGGGAGCTCTTTCTATGGCATGCGTGCGTGATTTTCAAAATCATCGTTAACGTCAGCATGCGGATTGTAGCATGTGAGCTGATGCTAGAAAGCGTAGCAGCCTGTGCAATGGTGACGGTTTGTGTGCGGAAGTGGCTACAGGCCCATTTCTGTTTCTTCTGGACGGTATGCTGCAGGAGTTAATCATTCCGGCGTGAAATCTTTGTATTTACTCCTCAGCATTTCTTATAGTAGACGCTAAGACGAGCAATTTAACCATTATAAGGCGTGGTGCTCCAAAGTATGTTGTATGCCACAGACGCTTATCGCGCGCGGTTTTGGACCTCTGGCCAGTGCGTATGATTGATTTCCATCGGACAGAGCATTGCGCCGGGCTCGGTGGTTTACGGATCTAGCTGGGCCAATCCTTGACCCGGTATATTACCAGCAATCGGCTGCAACGTCAGGATTATGGGCTGGAGGCAGCTGATTTGGTGCTCATAAACCATGATTATGGCGCGGATATCAAAAGCTTTGTAGAATGTTTAGACCCGCAGCCAATTGTAGAGCTTGTTCTGTTGATATACGATTTAAGAGTGTCACGTTCGTCTTCTGCCAACTGACCGATGGCCAATCTGTTTTAATTGGTGGCATTCGATCGCAACTAATTTGAGGGCAGTGCTCTACTTTGTCATTTATCATCAATCTTGCCAGTATATTTACGTGTCTCAGTCCCTTTCTTCACGATGTAGTGGTGTAGGCATCAGTAAATGACAACCTTGTGCCGAATTTTGTCTGATGTGACGGGATGATAACACTCACAGCATATAAAGTAAGCAGTTATAGCATCAAACACCGGGTTCAGCAACCGTAGAGAAATCAATGTTTTGTAGAAAGAAAAAACAATGCGAGAAAACGATGGGCCACGTTCTTAGGGTTCCACATGTGAGCTGTGTTATAATTGCAAGCTCAGCACACTCTGGCACGATTGCTGCGCTTTGGCAGAGGCAAAGCTTCAATTCATTTGCGTCCGCGTCCACAAGCCTCGCTTTCTCGTCTGAAGCCGTGGCGCTCTACCGGTGCCGTTATCGAGAGCCCTTAGAACAGCGTCCATGCCACCAGCATCCGGTTTGGACAATGCGTCAGCTCTCGTCTGGACCTCTGGCCGACTTACAGGTGAATATTGACACCATGGAGGCCTCGGAGCTCACTGTGAATGAATGGATCGCCGGGACCATCGTCAGCATCGTATTGAACGACAGCGGCATCTTCGCCGCTATGGACGACGGACGGATACTGGTCGGTGGCGAGGAAACTAACGAGCTACATGCGGATGCGTGCGCAATGTGTTTTTGGTGCCGGCTGAAACTGAAAAACTTGTGGTGCGAGTTGTCTGTATAAAAACTAGTTGCAATAGACTCACGACGTGCAGAAAACATGACCAAGACGTCTGCTAATTTGTGGTCAAATCCGAGTGTCTTTCTGCACTATAGGCAGTCATGGCAGTCATGTGTTTCGCTGGTGGATAGCATTGGTCACTGTTGTGGCAGCATGTTTCCATCGCATCTGGTCATTTGCTGTGACAAAAGCGAACTTTCCGAGTGAGCTGCATGTTATCGCGCCTGAGTGGGATGGCAGTGTCCCGGAGCGGTCCAGTTCTAGCCCCAATTTGCGAGAGCGCTGTGCGGCGGGAGCGGCGATTACGGCTGGGATGAGGCGCCCCCAGCTGCTGCCAACTGCTGGAGCCGGACGGCGACGGCTGGACGGTGCAGTTGGGGATGACGCGGCCCCGGCTGCTGCCAGCTGCTGGAGCCGGACGGCGACGGCTGGACGGTGCGGGTGGGGGTGACGTGTCCTCGACTGCTGCCAGCTGCTGGAGCCGGACGGCGACAACTGGACGGTGCGGGTGGTGGCCGAACTGGAGCTCTCCGTGCTGACGATGCGGCCGTCCCCCAGCTACAACTTCCTGGCGATCACGTGCAAAACGGTAAGAGCCACCGTGCTGCACGGGGACCGAGGCAGCGCTGTCGACGGGCCCCGAGAGCGTGGTGTACTGGTGCGCCCTTAGTCAGGGCTGTCAGCAGCGTCGTACGTGTTGTAAAGCTCCTGTCATTTCATTCATGCTGATAATCTGGCATTTGAAGCGGCCAACTGAGCGGCCGGTTGGACGCTCGTGCCGCCTGCGATGCTCACTGTTTTAACCACCGTTAGCATTCCGTCCTGTGATGCTCGTTGGTAACACGTGAAGTAAGGGTTCAGGAAGTCGACTGTCATATGTTGTGAGACGTATTATGCTCCAAAGCTGGTTGCTCTAAGATGGGTGCGGTCAGCTGTCAAAGCGTTGAATGGTTTCAGCGCTTGATCGCTTTTGATGCAAGTCATGACGCTCCAAGAATACACGCCTTCGCCTGGCTTGGTTTCGCCCAGCTTCTCGCGACAGAAAGCGACACACGATCCTTGAAGGAAAGCCTCGAGTGCTCCTGCTCCAGGTCAAAGTGCATCATGAATTGAAGTTTGCTCTGATCACTATGACTTCATCTCCTCTTGAAGCCCATGCACAAGGAGATCGCTGATCCAGAAGACGAACCGAAACACTTAGAGGCCGCCGCCTCTGTCACCAGCGGCGAAGTGAAGGAACTGTCGTCGAAGCTACTAATGATGACACGGGCCTACTCCGAGTCCGTGTCCTGTTTTGTCGGCTGTGGTGTCCAAGCTGGCTCCGACGGCTCGACCCGAGTCCTCCCAGTCTCTTAGCCGATGCGAGACAGCATCGACCATCGCTGCACCAATGCTGGTGGCGAACTTCGGAACGCCTTCAACCCCTGGTGACACCTACCGGACACGTGGCAATGACTCGGGTTCGACCCGCCGACTCCTTACCACCGTTGTGCAGCAGCTTGCCGTCCCGGTGGACGGCAAATTGTTGACCGACGCTGGGGGAGGGGAGGGGAGGAGGAGAAGAGGTGGGAGGAGCGGAGAAATAATGTCCGATCTACTCCGCAATGGTTTTCTTCTGCCATCTGTGCGACCGCGTGGTCGGGCTGCCCTGAATAGGCAGATTAGAGCAGCTTTGACCGGAAGCTGAGGCTGTCGCCAATAGGAGGTGGATCACGACGTGTTTACTGACATTTTTCTGAACGAAGGTTGCTGCCACTCCAGGAGAGACGATGTTTTTGGTTTTTCTGTCTGTCCGCGCCGCTTCGTTAGTTGGTTTTTTGGTTGTTCAGGTGACACAAATGCAATGGCTATTTCGCTTCGAAGGAGAGGCATGACGAGGGTTATGGGTCGTCCTTATGTAAGTTGTGTACTGTTGGTAGACGATTATTCTAGTTGGGCAGCTACCTCCTGCCCGGCTTGCTCTGCTGTCCGATAGCGAGCCTTGTCGGCATCCTCCAGCTGTCGTCTTTGGAAAGCCCGCCCCTCCTGTAGCTGTCGTCTTTGGAAAGCCCGCCTATCCTGTAGCTGTCGTCTCTGGAAAGTCCGCCCCTCCTGTAGCTGCCGTCTTTGGAAAGCCCGCCCCTCCTGTAGCTGTCGTCTTTGGAAAGCCCGCCCCTCCTGTAGCTGTCGTCTTTGGAAAGCCCGCCCCTCCTGTAGCTGTCGTCTTTGGAAAGCCCGCCCCTCCTGTAGCTGTTGTCTTTGGAAAGCCCGCCCCTCCTCCAGCTGTTGTCTTTGGAAAGCCCGCCCCTCCTGTAGTTGTTGTCTTTGGAAAGCCCGCCCCTCGTGCAGCTGTTGTCTTTGGATAGCTGGCCTTTCCTGCAGCTGTTGTCTGGGTAGCCCGCGCCTCGTTTCCGGCAACGACTTATGATGAAGCCAAACAGGCTGGCTCACATTGCACTGGGAGGAAGTCTTTGATGCCTTGGGTTTTGATGACCCTCACGGCGTCGGTATGACCACTGTCAAGGAGTTACTGCAGAGCGCTCCTAACCCGTTATCCTTCTCTATTTGCGGGTAAACCTCCTGTATGCCTGTGATAACAGCTCGTTAGTAGGTAAGCTTCCATCGAGCTTCGGTATCACGCTCCGCTCCGAAGCAGCGGGAATGCGGACCTTGCTGCACAATCTGCACCCCATCACCCGGTGAATGATGTATGTTTCGGGCTGCTTTTGGGCACGGTTTTGCACGGTGAAGCTGGACGTGCCACTACGTCGCTTCAGCCAGATCTTCATCAACTAAATGACAGTTAACCAAATCTGGGCTTTCTGTCTCTTGACGCCCACCATAGTGTCACAGACTTTCGCTACAGCAGGTGCTTTTCGCAATGAACCAAGTCTCCGCGGTCGGTCCTCAAATATTCGTCCGTCTAAGAATGCGCGAGAGGTTAGCAGACCGGCACTTCCATGGCGCGCGCGGTACGCAGCGGCCAGGCAAGAAGCGCGTGGTGACGATGCTCCCATCCCCCTCACCCCTACCTTCTTGCGCGTTCTGTGTGTCGTTAGGCTTGATCAGGCACTCATCTGCTGAGGCGATATAGTGTCGCCTGTCTCTCAACCTGACAGGAAGGGCGAGAAATCGAACCCCGCGTCTGCGCCTGCCAGACGTGTAGTGTTTGCTATTGTCTTCAACTGGGATAGGCTGTGGTGGGTGGCAGCGATCTCGCTAACGATCAGATGACGTCAGAGGGCAGGTGGACCGTGCCGGCCGCTGCCGCGGACAGCATGCTTTCTCAGCTGGGGACAATAGTGAACGCTTAAGTGTTCGAACCCACCCCACCACGGATAGGTGAACCAGAAAACGTGCCGTGTCTAAATGAAACTACCCTTTACACGGTGTGGCCAAAATAGAAGCATGCCACGCTTTACTAAGCAGTGACAAGCGCATTTCTCGAGAACCGAGAATAGTGGCATTCGAAAAGCCATCTTTAAAAAAACACCTGAAAAATCAGATGCCTCTTCAATCAATTTTCAATGCCATTTACACTGGTTTTATGATAAATGGCTGGATATACTGTACAGTTGATATACAATTGATACACAGTTGCGCTGCGCTGACAACCTAACTGAAAATACGCACAAATCGATTTGTGTAGCATAAAAAACCAGTAGTACGTTCGAGGCTTCATAAAATCCCCTGAGCGCGACCCTTTTTCATGTGCAGCAACATGGTTGCTCCACCTCCTTTATCATATGTACACATATGCACATGAATTCCAAGTACGCATGCTCAAAGCATCTGAGTGGTGCTGATGACGTACTGACACGGTTCAAAGTACGGTGAGACACCAAATGGCACTGCACTGTTGCTTGAGACTGCAAGGCCCGAAAGCTCCCGAGCGCAGTTACAGAACGGCGGGACGGTGCAGTATGTAACCTGACCATCATAGCGATAGTGTCAGTCAGTGGGCCGACAGTCGTGAGCCTAGGCTAAGTGATACGGACTCCATGACAATACAGTTGTGATTAGCGCTCGGCCCATCTATGATGGCTGCGGCTCGCCTGGGCTGACGCCGATGCTGACAGGGGGTCCGCGCATTCGTGCGCAGGGCGAGGTGCGGCTGCTGTACACGCCGTCACACGACTTCAAGCCGCTGGAAGGGTACGAGGGGGCGGGCTCTCCCGCCGTCGACGTCTGCCTCGTGGCGCCCCAGTTCGACTACGTAGCCTCCATCCACGAGCCACACGGACTGCACGTGTGGAGAGCGCCCCGCGGCCACCACGTGAGTAGCGCCGCTGCCGTGCCAGGACGCGGGACGCAGCGCTGTAGATGTAGCGTCCATGTAGCGCCACGCGGCACAGTGCTGTAAACGTAGCTTCAATGCAGCGCCGCACGACGCAGCGCTATGGATGTAGCGTCAATGTAGCGCCCCGCCACGCAGTGCATTCATGCTGTTCATATTTTGACTGAACAGCTAACCTTACGACTTTGATTTGGTGACAGCAATACAACGTTGAAAGCAGCGCAGGGGTGTGGTGACGGTCGGGGGGCTGGGCAGGTCGTCTGGTAAGGGTGGGGATTGGCCCGTCGTGGCCCATGTCGTCGGCGTCCGTCCGCTCCGCCTACCTGGTTTGATCAGTTGGCTGCCGCCTCAGCTGCCATTGTCACAGCTCCGTGCCGGGGTGCACGCGGTCGAGTGGCGCGTGCTGCGGCAGCTGTCTGCGCTGCGAGCAGCCCCGCTCCTCCGGCCGGAGCCGGCGCCGCCGCCGCCGCCGCCGCCGCCTTCAGCCGGCTGACACCCGATCGTCCGTCGGCGCTTATCTCGGCGTTCGTCGGCTTTGTTCGGCGCGCTGATGCCGCACGCAGAGGCCGACTAAAACTCCGCGGGCGATCGTCGCCGCCGCCGACTGAGCCACGACTCAGGCCGGGACTGTGCGATGCGATACTGCGTGGGGAGGCGGCGGGGCGGAGCACAGCACGAACGCGCCGAGCGACGCTCCCCGGTGAATAATGAGCATCACCGCCGTCCCGACAGCGGCGGACGGAGCGGCCGCCGAACCGCACTCGGAATGCGACCCGCACCCATTACTGCCCTGGGCCTCGGACGAGGAGTGAATGGTCTGCCTCAGTGAGCCCCGAGAGCAAGGAAGAAATATTGTACCATGTTATCGAGACGCGACGTCCTGGATCAGGTCCCGAGGGGGAGCTCGCCGCGGTTCGGCCGCGGAACACGGGACGTGCCGTGGAGTAGAAAGCTTGTCATTACGTTAAGCTTTAATAGCGTTATTCCCAGTCCAGCGCTGACCGCCTGACCTGCATCGCTGACCACCGTGCGCGAGTGCCACGTCGGCGGCGCCCACTGACGGCCGGCTCTCTGCTGACAGGAGTCCTCAGTGGAGCTGGTGGGCCGGCTTACCTGCGTGGCCAGCTGCATAGACGTACCGTGCGTGCTGGTGGGCAACGAGGACAGCTGCCTGGTGGCCGTGGACCTGGTGCTGCCGCTGAACCCGCGCATCGTCTGGACGGCCCGCGTCTGTGAGGTGCGCGGCCACGGCCGGCCCCCTCGACGGTGCAGCCGGGGCACACACGGCTCTGGTGCCAAGCATGCATCATGCAACACAACGCTGCAGTTGGGGTTATACGCTTTAGCATCTTCCCGTACGTTGTGAAGAAACGTTTGGCACCAGCCACATGACGTCGCCAGGTGAACATCGAATCCAAATGCGCTTTGGGTCTCCCCGACACTCGTTGAGTCGCCGTTTTCGTACCTGCAACACAGTGGGGTCGGACACTTTTTTGCACTGACAGGCCTTAAGTGACACGTCTGGGGCGGGGGTGATTTGCCTCTGGCTAAAGGCCAGGCTAACAGCTACGTTGGCCTGTCTGTCGGCACCGGAACGTCAGAGCTGGTCGCGGTCGTGCCTTTGGTCGCGCCTCCGAGCGCATGTCGCAGACAGACCTGGTAGCGCGGCGCGATAAGGCCGCTGGTGGTCACAAGCGACCTCGCTCGCCGACATGGCCGCTCTTCAATTGACACAGTCCCCAATGCCTTCCTAACGACCCTGTTTAGAGCTTACTAAAAGCTGCCTCGTTTTCGACCGCTGACGTGTGGCCCATCGTTGCTGACAAATGCGGCTGTGTTTCCCCGCCATCGTCAGGAATCCATCAGCTCGTCACGGATGGGTGTCACGAGCGACGCTGTTCTTATAAGCGGGGCAGATGAGACGCCAGGGTTTTCCCCAGCGTCGCATCGATTCCACAGCCAAACGGGCGTCAGACGCCGACATGGCCCCAGCCGCACCGCAGACAGGCACCACGCACGCGCCTGCGCTCCTGACCGACGCGTCGTCGAGCTGAGCTGGCGCGCCGACGGGCCGTCTGCGGCTGGCGGCTCGTTACCGGGGCCGGGCGCACGAGCGATGACAGGCGGCCGCGGTCCTCCGTCTCGGGCCTGCCCGCCCCGTGGCCGGCCGGCGATCGATCTCGGGCCGTGTCGGTGCCGGCCGGCCACAAGTGGACACTTGATCTGCGCGCGGCTGCGCCGGTGGGGCCCGCACGGCCACTGGCGCGCTCTCTCGCTGGATGGGTGTGGGTCGCCCTTCGCTGGCTCGCTGGCTCGCCCCTTGAAGTGGTTCGCCGTCACCCGGTCTGAAGGGTGAACTGATCTGCTCGTGGAGATCCTCGTCATGACCGTTGGAGATGGACAGCGAGGGTCAGGATCGCTCGTGCGTTGCGATTAAGGACATCTTGAATAGAGGAAAGAACTGCGTGATGATCAGTGCCAAAAACGCTGGACGAAGGACGTTGGTTTGCATGGAAAACCTGTATTTTAGATCGGACACCGTGCGCTACCACGACGAAGGTCGTTGGAGCGTAGTCCAACTTTGGAGGTGTTATCGGGAATGTTTGCTCGTAGTTACGACAGAGTCAGTCTGCTTAAACGGATCTCCCCGATCACCTCTGCTGTGACGACACTCTCGGCCCATCGCGGCTCACGGCTACTGCTGCGACGCGCTCGGCCCATCGTAGCTCACAGCTGCTGCTGTGACGCGCTCGGCCCATCGCAGCTCACGGCTACTGTTGCGACACACTCGGTCCATCGCAGCTCACGACTACTGCTGTGACGCGCTCTGTCCATCGCAGCTCACGGCGGCCCTGTCACCTATCTCGCAGCTCTCGGGTCGCCTTGTCACCTACTGTGCGATGTAGCTGGCTTCGTCAGTAAAAACGCAATGTGCTGCTGCCTGCTGAGCGGTGCAGCACGTTCACGTTCAGTCAGGGCAGGGCCGGGACTGACCCGTTTTGAGACGGTACACTGCAAAAGCCGCCCTCTAGTTGTGCCTTTCTTCACATGTCCTTCCATGGTGTGGTGCTTACTGATCAGCTATGGTATCGTCAAATGTTGGATGCCTTTTGCTGTGACTATTGAATTATGTTCAGCGGTTAACACGCGCCCGGGTGGCCAGCTGAATGCCGCTTGCTCGGGTGGGGGTCAATTTGACCCCCCCCCCCCGAAATCTCAGAAACTAAGAGAGCTCGATGCATCAAATTCACAGGGCGTGTTGCCCTGTACATGAGCTCACTGTTGTCAACTTTTGAGGTTCTTAGGCCGTGATATTCCGGTCAAGTAAGGTCAAACAAGGTCAAATCCAGAATTGGTGTCCGAAGTGCTTTCAGACCTTCTCGTGCAACCACCCTGAACCTAGACACCTGTACAGCACAAAATGTCGCTGCTGCTCATTTAAGCACATTGACCTTGCGTAACCTTTCGAAGGTCATAGTGATAAAAAGCAGACGAGACTGCCTTGATTTTTGCATTTGAATAAGCGCCAATGATAACGCCATGCAGTACGTTCCTAAAAACAAGATGTTGACTTGGCTGATTTTAGGTCAGTATCCTATTCTGACCTTTAACCCTTCGATGGGGGATGTATAGTGTGTTTCCCATTATGAATAAGTTCAAAATGTGGACCAGAATTTATCGCATACAGCAACCCCTAGAGTAATAAAAAAGTCCGGTTTTGACCTTGGTCTGACCTTCATACCCGAGGAGTGACTCAGTCATTGGGATGCCTTTCACACCACTGACCCTAGGTCAGTTGAGCTTGTCAGTTCAATTATTGTGTTGCCTAGGAAACTATAACAAAGATGTGTGGTTTCGTCTAACACTTGCACGCCGAACACTAGCTCCGTTGTTGCATCAGATTGAACGATTCTCTGAAAAAATAGTGGTATTCCCTGAATCCATGGCCTGACTTTGACCTGCCATAGGTCAGCAACCTTACAAGGTACATCTAATTGTTTTATGCCAAGCGCTTTGCTTTTCAATTGTCTTCAACCATGCAAAATTTGGAGCGGCTACGCCGCACCGTTGTGAAATCGCCGCACAGAAACCTTGGGGGGGTCATATTGACCCTGACTCAAGCGCGTGTTAACATTGTTAAGTATCCTCATAAGCTTGATGAGCTTCAAAACTCATTACTTTAAAATCGTTTGTCAAGCACAAAACATGTGACATTTTTGACGTCGCACAAAGTTTCATACGACTTATCATCTAGTTCTTCTGAGCCCGCCGTTCGGTTTCTGGTGGCCGCAGTCGCCAGACGGCTGCGGCAGCGCGACAGCGGTGTCGGCGCGCGCTAGCTGTGTGACGGTGTCCCGGTGCAGCCGTGTCGACAGTAGCCAGTGCCGTGACGTCGGTGCGCGGCCGTTCGGACAGGCGGCCGTGACCAGCATCACCGTGAGCCCGAGCGGCCGCGTGGCCGTGGTGCTCACCGCAGACGGCGGCGCCTACCTGCTGTCGGCGCAGCCGTCGGCCGGGTTCAGCGTGCGCGCCCAGCTTCAGACGGACGGCACGCCCACCGCCGTCGACACCTTCCAGCGGATGAGCGAAAATGGACCCGAGGACATGCTAGCCCTGCTGGTCACCTCAGCCGCAGGTCAGTCGCACGCGGCAGCTGCCCCCGCAGCGACCCGAGACGGGCGCCGAGGACGGGGCGCTGGTGCTGGAAGACGCCTGAGTTCTTGCCTTGGTGTTGTACCTCGGGAGCGGAGGGATCGCGCGATCGTCGCTGTGTCTATTCATTATTGTGGGGAGACTAGGGAGGTTCCTGGACAAACGGTCCGAACGGAAAAGTCAAGAGTCAACAGAAAGGAGTCTGAGCACATAAAGCCCAAGGGACTGAAGTCGAACCTGAAAAAGTCGATGGACAAGAATCAAAACCTGAAAGTGGAAGCAAGAAAAGAGGATCGGAGAAAGTCGAACGGAAAAAGTCGGCGGGGATAAACATTGGAAATCACCTAAGATGTCAAAAAGCGGCCAAGGATGAAACTCGAATCGGAAGGAAATCCTAAAGGGATCAAAGCGGTCAGGGACAAAAGCCAAGTTGGTAAAATAATTTAAATGCGCAGCAATTTGAAATAGTAAACTTTGATTTCGGTAGAATCCAATAAGCAAGTAGTCCAGAGAATCAAAGATTGGAGAGTTTAAAGAATTCCAGGGAGATGAGAGTGTTAAGGATACCAGGGATGAGCGATACCGTGAATACCATGAATTAGCGTTTTGCCCCTTGTACTCGGATGCCTTCATGGATTCGGTAGGTTTGGCTACCTCGCATCCCTGGAACCTGTAATTTGTGCTCGCCCTCGCTCAGCTGGCGAACGCTCCTGGCAGGAAGCCAGCCTTCGAAACTTCACCACCGAACCATGAACGATGCTCCCTAAGGCCGTCAGGTGGCCGAAGTTCCACGGGTACCCAGCTATCCTCCGCCTATGCCCATGACATTCACTCCAGCCATTTCCCGGGACGTTTGGGAGCAACACGGGCGCCCACGGCATGAGACGGCGCATGGTGGCGGCGCCCGTCGTAGACCCCGTTAGTCCTGGTGCCTGACAGACACGCGTCTGGTTCCCAATGTTGATTTTGGGTTTCTGCCTCCCGTCCAGAAAACGAGATTTTGGATCATTGGTTCAGGCAGAGTCTTTCATATACCCCAACCTCCGGTTCCCGGATCCTACCGGCTGTTTTGCAGTCGCCACACCCTGGTTCCTGGTCTCCACTGGCTCTTTCGCAACTAAAAATGTGGTTTCGTGGTTCCCACTACTTCTGTTACACTACCTACTGATATATAGTTATTGGTGATGTTTTGTTTTTTTACGGACGTTCCCCGGTTAAGATATTTTCCAGCAGTTTTGGTGGTTTGGATTAGAGCCCCTTCCACCAGAAATGATCATTGCATGGCTAAACCAATAAATTGAACCCTGTCTACTTATATCCTTCTCAGCTTGCTCCTGTTTTAATTTTTCCGGTCGACTTTTTACCCTGTTGACCTTCTGCACACCCGACTTTTTCCCGTTTCGACGTTTGTCCTTGTTGGCTTTCATCCATGTTGACTTTTCTTCCTTCGGCTTTTTCGATCCGAGTTTTATACATGTCGACTTTCATTTATATCGTCTCCTCGTCGTTCGACTTTTTCCATTGGAACTTTTCCGTTCACCTATTTCACTCGGGCTGTTTGCCCGGACACCGACTAGGAACGGCCGAGCTATCAGGCCATCCACAGACGCTGATTTCCATCTGCGCAGCTGTGACACCGGAGATGACGGGATGACCAGGTATCCGATGCTGTGTTGCCAGAGCTGCTCAGTTTCGTGCGCTTGGTGATCGTGCGCGACCTGGAGGTGGTCGGCTCGGTCACCTACGGCCTGAACACGGTGTGCGCCGGCCTCGCGATGCACAGCGCCGCCTCTGTCGTCTACACCATGGCCGTCCAAGACCGCTCGCTCTGCTGCTTCACTCTCCGGGAGCCGGACCAGGTGGGCGCGCACGTGCGACCGCGCTGTTCGACAGGAGCGTCAGCCGTGGGTGCACTGCTCTTTAGTTCGACAGGAGCGTCAACCGTGGGTGCACTGCACTTTAGTTCGACAGGAGCGTCAACCGTGGGTGCACTGCTCTTTAGTTCGACAGGAGTGTCAGCCGTGGGTGCACTGCTTTTTAGTTCGACAGGAGCGTCAGCCGTGGGTGCACGGCTCTTTAGTTCGACAGAAGCGTCAACCGTGGGTGCACTGCTCTTTAGTTCGACAGGAGTGTCAGCCGTGGGTGCACTGCTTTTTAGGTCGACAGGAGCGTCAGTCGTGGGTGCACTGCTTTTAGTTCGACAGGAGCGTCAGCCGTGGGTGCACTGCTTTTTAGGTCGACAGGAGCGTCAGTCGTGGGTGCACTGATTTTTGGTTCGACAGGAGCGTCAGCCGTGGGTGCACTGCTTTTAGTTCGGTACTGTCGTGGCGGGCTGGACGTCTCGAAGGAGGTAATTTTTTTCCCGCTTTGAATTACGCAGGTGGCTCGTGGACTTACTCTACGATGTTCCAGTGCACGCCTTCCTGTCTGGATGCGGCCTAAGGGGCTTTAGCACTCACTGTCGTGAAACTACGCACAAACTTGAGCACAAACGTTTGCTGAGCCCGTGCTTTAGAACATTTCTTAAGATTGCATATGACCGTTTTTGTGCGGTGGTAGTCATGAAGCGTTACCACGCTGCTTCCTTCCGACCGTAGAGAAATTCAGAGCTGTGTTTTCTGTGTTTCGCCTTCGAAAGTTGCCGAGCTCACTGGAACGTAATGATCTTCACGGATTAGGTGAAAACGCCGTGGGTACTCGTACATAATGGGAAATAGCTAAATGGGTAGATCTTTGGGGAAATCACAAATGTGCGGACGGCTGTGGGTAGAACGTTCAAGAGGTGCCAGATGTATATTTCGTGAAACATGATATAATATCACGGTTTGTCCTCGTTTAGTTGCATTTAACTTTATCAAAACTACATTTGCAGCTATTAACGAAAGGGTTGAATAGAGGTGTAACCTTTTATCTTCTAATCTCTTCCGTGGGTAATGGTGAAGGCCTCCGACAGTACCAAGAAAGGACAATAAGGAAACTAATTACAAATGTGCAGCGAATGGGTGCAGCCAACAGGTGTAGAGTTTGGATTGAGTGAATGAAATCGTGTCCATGAAGGCTTCTTACAGAACAATATAAATTCAATTGACTGATATCTCAGTAAAAGGAGGTCTCTTAGCTGACTGTGCCGCTGTGTGTGTGGACAGCTGATGGCGGAGCAGGAGGTCTCTTAGCTGACTGTGCCGCTGTGTGTGTGGACAGCTGATGGCGGAGCAGGAGGCCGCTCAGCTGACTGTGCCGCTGTGTGTGTGTGGACAGCTGATGGAGGAGCAGGTGTCGGACCTGATCTGGAAGCCGGACGCGTCGGCGCCCAGCGAGCACGAGCTGCGCCGGGTGCTGGTGCGCACCGTTGGCCGCTTCGTGCTGACGGCAGCCGACGACGGCATGGTGCGCGGCCGACCCGACGACCTCAACAACAAGGAGAAGGGCCCGCTGGGCGACCGACACTCGCGGCAGACCCATCAGGCCAGGTGCGCTGTGGTGCACGTGCACGCGTACCACGCTGGGTGGACCATGATCGGATGCCGCCGCCAGACCAGGTGCGCGCTGGTGTACACACCAGTCCAGACGCATGGTCAGAATGGCAGCAGTCCACAAGGTCAGGCCTCACCACTGAGAGAAAACACACCAGGCTGGGCGGTCCAGGGTGGCAGGGTTACTGAACAGATGCACCACTGGCAGCCGCGCTAGGTACAGGCTTCACCGGTGAGATTTTGTTACGAAATCCTGCCGCCGCCCACTCATGCTCAGTTTCGCGCATCCTGTGCCCAGCCCGCTTGTATTTATGAGGAAACTTCGGGAAATTTTACACCGACACCGATTGTTTACGTTGATAATCGGCCGATTGTGCAACGGGACTCATGTCTTAGATGTAACCATAACTTGTCAGATCCGCTCTAATCTGCTTTTTTTTGACTGCACAAATCTGCTTTTGCTAACTTAACCTACCCCAAGCCGAGTTTACATATGTGGGTTTAAAATATCATTGCATACACCCAGCTCATGCTACTGAGGAGGAGGACCAGAGGTGGTGTGAGTTGCTTCAGGGTAATTTGTCCAATCAGAAATTAATGAATTCATGTTGGGTTGAGTTGATTTCAAGCGGGTGGAAGTAAGCTGTTCCCAACAGCAAGCTAATACAAATGCTTGATGCTCCATCAGGGACGGAAATCAGGCACCCAAAACATCACTTCACTGTCAATGACACGGCCGCATGGGCCTTGTCAGGCATTGGCATGGCCAATGTTTACGAGACGTCTTCCTGTTGATGTCATTAATAGGGCAGTATATAAATCAGTACCTGTACAGCGATTGGCGGGGCGAGATTTGGGCTATACGAGACAAGCCATCCTCTTCATGTTATATCCGTCAGCTCTTCTACTTCCAGGTTAAGCCTCACCAAAACAAAAAAAAAACAAAACAAAAAGACTGAGCGGACATAGGTGAGCACTCGGGCAGACGAAATCAGGCCGAAGGTGTCCACTGAATGGTGTCGCTACATTAGTACTGTTGGAAACATTCTAATCGACCAGCCCAAGACGGCAATAATACCGAGCAACATTTATTCTACTGAAAACGTTGAATGCGGCGTCGTATTGTTGCAAACCAAGTTTGGGATAGAGCTGGGAGTAACGGCTAAACCTGCTCCAAGGGACATATAATAGAGACTTGTCCGAATGTTTCCCACAGATGGGGAGTGGATGGGGTCCTCGACTGCAAACCTGGTCTGAAAAACTACAACTAAAAACTGAGAGGCCTGGTCTTCACTCAAACGCGATATAACTTTTGCAATATCTTTTGTAAGGTTAAGTGGTACAGGGTTAAACTATTGCTTCCAAAAGTTATACCCTGCACTGAAATTCTACTACCAAAACTATTATTTTACTTGTTTTCCAAGTACAACTCTATGAAGTGACGCAACTTAACGAATCAATATTTTTTCGGATCGGCTTTCCCAGTTGTGGCTTCCTTCCAGCCTGAAAGCTGTGTTAATACCATTGATAGATATTTGACACCACAGCTAAGCATTGCATTTGAAGAAATGTGTGAACGCAAAACTGTAAGTTTTCGCAGTAAAATCAAATGCGAGGCGCATTTTTTGAAGCATAAGCTTTGTCGTTAAGCGCTAATGTTACGTGTGCAGAAGCAGTGTCGTGAAAAATTAATTGCGTCAGCAGTTTTTCCAGTAGAAGTAATGTCGAGCTTAAGTTTTGGGGCATACATTCCGTCGCGTAGCGCTTATGTTATATGTATTGGCAGTAGAAGCTGTGTCGCAGCAGTCTTGCAGTTGGAGTGTTTGCTGTCGCACTGATGTGGAACCCCAGCATAGTGCCGGTGACAGACTACCGTGCATTTCCCCTCCCCACCCCACCCCAAAAACGGCCAGGATCATGGGGAAAACGTCAAACGTCAACGCACTGGAGCTTGCGGTGCCCCGCTCAACCGTCGAATGCTGTTTTCGGACGAGTTTTCAAAAGCTGCATCTCTTTGAATTTCGTTCACAAAAATACAGAGTCACTTTCCAAAAGTAAGGGAATGTGCACTCCCTGGGACGAATGTGGCGCTTACTGCCGAGGCTGGTGCTAACTGGAGCCATCTGCGAGTCGGCTGGCGTTCGCAGGCCGCAGCAACTGACCTGCTCTGGTCGGCTGCCGATGCCGCAGCTCTGGCGGCGTCCGCTCGTTTGAGGTGCAGCCGAGTGGCAAGGAGGCGGCGCTCGTGGGCTTCGACGGCACCCTGATGCGCATCTCCCTGCCGTGAGTGTCGCCTGATGGCCAGCTCCGTGCCGTCTCACGTGAGGCCCAGTGTCACACCATGCTAGTGATTGGTGGGCACCATGATGCACATCTCCCTGCCGTGAGTGTCGCCTGATGGCCGGCTCCGTGCCGTCTCACGTGAGGCCTAGTGTTGCACCATGCTGGTGATTGGTCAGATCACAGCTGCGATTGCGTATCTTTGGTGGCACGCATTCATTCCTGTAGATTGGTGCTCCCTTCCTACATTTGCAGCGTTGGTGTAGACAGCAGGTGCACGCATAGAGTCGGCGCATGAGAGTGGGCGCCATGTGTTGGCTGTGCGTTATTGCTTGCCTGTTGGTGAGTGACGTCGGTACGCCACAGTACGGCTTGTGCGTCCCATGAGCCTGTGTTTGGGTGCAGTCAGCCCGTCGCAGCGCAGCCTGTACGTCCCATGAGCCTGTGTTTGGGTGCAGTCAGCCCGTCGCAGCGCAGCCTGTACGTCCCATGAGCCTGTGGTTGGGTGCAGTCAGCCCGTCGCAGCGCGGGCTGTACGTCCCATGAACCTGTGTTTGGGTGCAGTCAGCTCGCCGCAGCGCAGCCTGTACGTCCCATGAGCCTGTGGTTGGGTGCAGTCAGCCCGTCGCAGCGCGGGCTGTACGTCCCATGAGCCTGTGGTTGGGTGCAGTCAGCTCGCCGCAGCGCAGCCTGTGCGTCCCATGAACCTGTGTTTGGGTGCAGTCAGCTCGCCGCAGCGCGGGCTGTGCGTCCCATGAGCTTGTGGTTGGGTGCAGTCAGCTCGCCGCAGCGCAGCCTGTGCGTCCCATGAGCCTGTGTTTGGGTGCAGTCAGCCCCCCACAGCGCAGCCTGTGCGTCCCATGAGCCTGTGGTTGGGTGCGGTCAGCTCGCCGCAGTGCGGGCTGTACGTCCCATGACCCTGTGGTTGGGGGAGGTCAGCCCCCCACAGCGCAGCCTGTGCGTCCCATGAGCCTGTGGTTGGGTGCAGTCAGCTCGCCGCAGCGCGGGCTGTGCGTCCCATGAGCCTGTGGTTGGGTGCAGTCAGCTCGCCGCAGCGCGGGCTGTGCGTCCCATGAGCCCGTGGTTGGGTACAGTCAGCCCCCCGCTGCTCAGGCCGCGCGTCCCCTGAGCGGCGCCGGCGCGTGTTTCAGGTACAACCAGTCGGGCTCGGGCCGGCGGCGCCGCTCCACCTACTTCGAGAACCCGGTGGTGCCCGAGGCGCGCTACGTGGCCGCCATGCGCCCGCTGACGCAGATCGGTGCGGCCGCTGACTGGGGCTGCCTGCCTGCCGGCCCATGCCCATCCTTCAGATGATGTCGACAAACGCCCCAAATGAAGCCAGTCTGATAACGTTTTGCCGATAGCATTTAGCCCATTAAGATTGTCGGCGTGCCGTTTGCTCCGTGTCGACAAATCCACCTCCTAAAAGTCGAATGGCAATGCGTTGACTGGATTTTGTGTCCATGGGAAAAGTGCTGAAATACCAACGAGCCGAAATATGTATTTTTGTGTGTAGCGTAAATGCGCATTTGCCGAATGCCAATATGCCTTAATGTTGTTCAGTCGGATACGTTTTCTGTTTTATGTGCTTAAATCTGACGCCAATAAGACCGATGTCCATCGTTCTAATGCTGACGGGCTGAAATGTTAATAAGCTGGTGGTAGAGGCGCCTTAAACGTGAAAGTGTTACTTGTCACAGACTGCTTAGATTTTCCTGGCATTGCCGTGCGCGGTGCCTGATCTGGTCAGAATCAGATGCCCTCAATATGGCATACCATGGTTCTGACTAACCTCCCACTATGGGCAGCTGATGGGCAGCTGGAAAACAAGCCCGCTGACTGGCCCGCGGTGAGGGAACCAGCGTCAATACTTCCACGGCTTGTAACGCTCTGAAAGTCAGTTACATTTTCATTATTAAACGTAGTTTATTACCCAAAACGAGCTGTCTATCACATAAACTTTCCCGTATGCTTGCAAGTGCTGGAAATGATAAAGGTAACGGTTATAGACCTACTCGCCTACTGGGCTCCAAAAAGGTCGTTTTCACTCCTCAAGAATGGACCTGTTTCCGGGCATACCCGAATACTGATCGCAACTGAGATGTGACTGGTCGACCTGACGGGGTCAAACTTGATGCCGCTGTGTCCGTTGGGTTCACGGCTGTCCGTGGTTTTGCTGAGCTTGATCACCATCCTTACTGGGGGCCAGATAGCAAGGGGCCCTTACATCCCCTCCGTGTAAGCGTTGATAATGATCGTGGCGCGTATGTGGTAGATTTCCAACCCCTCCATTTGCCTTCATTGTTTTGCCGATTCCGATGGTTACTCCATACCCTTGATGGGAATGGTTTCTACCAAACCGCTCTTCATCAGTGTGGAGCGCCCCTTATAGCCCGCCGTGGTTAGTACTTCATAGACCTCTCCGTCATCCAATTTATGTCGTTGCAAAGTAAATTTTATTAGTTGGCTATTAACCGAATTTACATTCATCGAGCTGCCGCTTGTCAAACCCTGCGCTGCGAGAGCTGTATCTAAAAGGTTAATTGGCCATTCAGTAATTTTCCGTCCATCCAATTGCCGGTCACCCAAATTCCATTTCGAAATATTGACGTTCCGCCAATCAACATTTCGACTTTTTAGACGAAGTTTTCGTCTAAGTAATATGTCGACATATTTAAGGGTTGGCACTTTGCGCGTCGGCGTATCGTCCATTGGCAATTCGCCTTTAAGCCGTTCGCGCTTTTGACATGGCGGCAAAACATATCCAGGTGTACGACATTTGGCAAAAAAGGATTCGGTTAAACGCCGTTCGGCAATTTGCCCTGAAGCCATCTTTGCTAACCTCCTGGTGCCATCCCTTCTGCTTTCTCCGCCACGTTTATTTCCGTCTCCTTAGTGGGAACGCATTCACCTAACTGTTGCGCTAAGTCCCTTGGTAATGCGCAGCTCAGTGCGCGAAATTCCTGCGTTGGTAGACATCGGATATGCGGGCTCAGCTGATCGCGCCAGATTCCTTCATGCCTGTCAAGTAGCATGCGCATTGTCCGCTTGGCTGCGGTGTGACATGGACATTGATGGCATCCTGATATTCTGCAATATTGATCAGTGCTGCCGTTCTCGGCCAGCCTTCCAATTAGCTTTGTTGGTCCTCGGCCTGCACGCACACTGATGTCACAGACAGCGGCCGGGGCCGCGGATTTCCCCCAATATCAGCCTGTGCAGATAGAGTGTTTGTCATGTTGCGTTATAGGGACGGACTGAAATAGCGTGAACCGTGCTGATATTAAAATATCTGGTGCATCGCCGAACAAGCTGAAGAGGAAGTCACGTGGCCACCGCCACGTGACTTCACCACGTGACCATATGGCTTTAAACGCTGTAGCCCAACTTTTGCGTTGGGACAGGTACTAGTCAGGGCAGTAGAACACTGGTTTGAGTATACCGCACCACTTTGTTTGCTCCTCCTGCAACCTCAGTGAGGCCAATGGCTCCACATGGTGGGCCGGTGATCGGGTGGTGAGAGGTGCGACGTGGTGGGCGGTCCTGTGGGGTGAGAGGTGCGACGGGTGTGAGAGGCCGGTCGTGTGTGGTGAGATGGTGTGCGGCGAGTGGCCGCCAATGGTGGGGTGTGATGCGTCACGGGCGGCCATCTGGTAAGATGGGATGTTTTAGGGGTGGCCGCCAATGGTGAGAATCGAAATGACGGCCGGCTATCAATGATGAGGTGAGGTGTGAAGTGAGGGGGTGAGATGGTGAGATGTGAGGTGACGGGTGGCCATCAATGGTGAGGTGTGGGGTGACGGGTGGCCATCAGTGGTGAGGTGTGAGGTGACGGGTGGCTATCAGTGGTGAGGTGTGAGGTGACGGGTGGCCATCAGTGGTGAGGTGTGAGGTGACGGGTGACTATCAGTGGTGAGGTGTGAGGTGACGGGTGGCCATCAGTGGTGAGGTGTGAGGTGACGGGTGGCTATCAGTGGTGAGGTGACGGGTGACCGTCAGTGGTGAGGTGTGAGTTGACGGGTGGCCATCAGTGGTGAGGTGTGAGGTGACGGGTGGCCGTCAGTAGCGAGGTGTGAGGTGACGTGTGGCCATCAGTGGTGAGGTGTGAGTTGACGGGTGGCCATCAGTGGTGAGGTGTGAGTTGACGGGTGGCCATCAGTGGTGAGGTGTGAGGTGACGGGTGGCCGTCAGTAGTGAGGTGACGTGTGGCCATCAGTGGTGAGGTGTGAGTTGACGGGTGGCCATCAGTGGTGAGGTGTGAGTTGACGGGTGGCCATCAGTGGTGAGGTGTGAGGTGACGGGTGGCCGTCAGTAGTGAGGTGACGGGTGACGATCAGTGGTGAGGTGTGAGGTGACGGGTAGCCGTCAGTAGTGAGGTGACGGGTGGCCATCAGTGGTGAGATGTGAGGTGACGGGTGGCCGCCAGTAGTGAGGTGTGACGTGACGTGAAGACTGTCCGCCTCTGCTGAATCGTGATGTGACGGTGTGCCTGATCGCCGCCAGATCTGATGACTATGCCGCCCACCTGGCGAGAGCTGACGGCTGAGCAGGCCTGGCGTCGACGGGAGTCGGAGCTGGTGGCCATCCGCGAGCGTATCAGAGAGGGCGTGCAGACGCTCCGCACTAAGGTAAGCCTGGTGGGTGCTCGGGTGGCAGCCGGCAGCTCGGCTACTCGGTTGGGGCTGTGGCTGCGCTGCTAGGCGCCGGAGACTAGAGTGTGTCGGAGTGTCACCGGCGGCGGCCGCTGTCAGTCCTCTGCGCCGGCCGAATGTCACCGGCGGCGGCCGCTCAGTCCCCTGCACCGGCCGAGTGTCACCGACGGCGGCCGCTGTCGGTCCTCTGCGCCGGCCGAGTGTCACCGGCGGCGGTCGCTCAGTCCCCTGCACCGGCCGAGTGTCACCGGCGGCGGCGCTGCTGCCGCCTAATTGGCCGGGCCGCCGCCACCGGGTGATGGAGAGCCGGCCGCCGTCCGCCCACTCGTAATTGGCCGGATTGGGGGTCACGGGCGCGTGTTATCCCCGTCGTCGGCCGGCGGGCGGAGACGTCGGGCCGCCTCAGCCACCACCGGACCGCGCTAAGTGATGTAGCACGCTCGCCCCGCTGCCGACATAACGTCGGCATGTTACTGACGCGCTGGCGACGACGCGGGGCGAGTACAGCTGGTAGGTCAGACCAACTTACACGGGGGCCTCCGCCACCGCCGCTGTATTCTGAGGCCGGCGCCATGAACGACACGCAATTCTTGCGTTGGTTCGCGCTGCCCCGGTGTTCTCATGAGCCCCTCCCCCCCCCCCCCCGCCATGCCGGGAGAGTTGAGCACCCATCCACCGACAAGGTACGACCGAGAGCCGCGCCGCAACCATGTGCCGCCTGAGGTCGCAGACATGGCAATAGCAGGCTGTCATGGCCCGCACTGCTGGCCATCCTACCGACACTGTGAGACTCGGGGTCCAGCTTACTGCTTCGAGGTGTGTGACCCACCAGCTGGGAAGGCGTGGTACAGACATGTTTGAAATGGGCTCATCAGCTGCTAAAAACGGCAGCCGACGGGACTTCTGACGCTGCTGAGTCTGCGCCGGGTGGACGTCGCTGAGTCTGGGTTGGGTGGACGCCGCTGAGTCTGGGCGGGGTGGACACCGCTGGGTCTGGGTCGGGCGGACGCCGCTGAGTCTGGGCCGGGTGGACGCCCCAGTACCAAACGGATCAGTTTTTTGGGTTCTATCCAACTCGTGTTGGGTTAAGCCCGATCCAGAACTAATCGGTATCCATCAGTCTTTTAAGTTTGATCCAATCCTAATCCAAACTATCTAAAACATGCCAAAGCTTGATGGAGCCAGGGCTGGAAAACCCATGTGGACTATAATGCTGTGTTGCATGTTGCAAGTTTTGCGCAGAAACTTCCAATTTGGGCACTAGTGACAAGGACAAGTACAAATGATTCCCATCAATGAGGATTGGTCCATATCCGGCTTTTCGTCACATTTTTCTCCCCTCGCTATCATTTGATGAAAGAACACGAGCTCGCCGCCCAGTCAAAGGGCTTGGAAGCTTTGGGATTAATCCCTGAACATAACTATCAGTCCCCAAAACGTAGAAACCCGGAAAGTTGAGAGGGCTAGAGGTGGCACACACCCATATGAGTGACGATTAGGGGACGTCACCAAAAATCTGATGGTATTTTTCGAAGGCACTGGATCTCTGTGCAGACTTAAACCTACAAAAATATGGATTCCCTGCTATTGTAGCATTCCATGAAGGAACACAAATATTCCATTCTCTTAAGTGGTTGCGAGTTTTGAATCTGATAATCCAGTTTTGACCTATAAAGACACTGGCATTTTGGGAGGAGTTGATGGGGCAGGGGCACACATAGTTTCAAACGCAGATAATGGTTTTTTTTTTCATTCGACGGCCGGAGAGATTCGCTCAATAGGGTACTGAGAACAATTACGATAATTTGTATGTCAAATGTTTACTTTTGGACAAAACGCTGACTTGTTTTAGCTTACACTAAGACACTTGCTATCTGCTAATTAAAAAGGCCAAGTAAGCAAAACTTTTTATCCAAATCCGATCACATTCCGTACAAGCCGTACACAATGCAATGGGTTGCACCCGCACAGTGTAAGATGAATGCCGTCCGTCTGATACCGGTCGTCCCGCTGGCGGTCTTGTTGATCCCGCCTGGGACTCTGCAGTCAGAGAGGGGTGCCGGCTGGCGGTCGAGTCACAATCGGCCTACGCAGCGGTGGCCGGCCGGCGGCGATAGTGCGCCCGTTTGCCGCTGATCTGTCGGCCGGCGGTGCGCGGTCCCGCGGCTCCCGGCGTCGGCCGGCGGTCGGCGGCCGGCGGCTCGAGCCCATAGCCCCGGCCCAGCGACACCCAGGACGCCTGGCTGGTGAGCGGCAGTGGCGGGCCCCGCTGCTGGGACGCCTGGCTGGTGAGCGGCAGTGGCGGGCCCCGCTGCTGGGACGCCTGGCTGGTGAGCGGCCGTGGCGGGCCCCGCTGCTGGGACGCCTGGCTGGTGAGCGGCCGTGGCGGGCCCCGCTGCTGGGACGCCTGGCTGTTGAGCGGCTGTAGCGGGCCCCGCTGCTGGTACGCCTGGCTGTTGAGCGGCAGTGGCGGGCCGCGCTGCCGGGACGCCTGGCTGGTGAGCGGCCGTGGCGGGCTCCACTGCCGGGACCCCACTGGCGCGCTATTTGCGCCGGCTCGTGCTGAGGTGCGACCGTCTGGTGGTCCCGGCAGGTGAAGCACATGCTGGACGCCAACGCCGAGATGGAGGAGATGGACCGGCTGCCAGAGAACGAGTTCGAGCTGGACCTGGACGAGCAGACGCGCCTGACAGAGGCCAGCCAGGCCAGGTCAGGCCAGCTGGGCCAGTCGGTTCGTTAGCTGATGCTGTGTAAAGGATTCGTACCGATTTCAGCTATTGTAGCACAGCAATGCCGTGTGGCCGGTGTAGTGGTATGCTCATTAGGTCTGGTTCTATTGCGTGATGAATGGGTCTCAGGTCTTCGTGGTACTTCATGTGGTACATCCGGGAGAATGTAAAGGTTCTCTTTGGCATGCTTGTAACGAAGTTGCTGACGACTTTTCAGGGTGGAGGAGGCCCGATCTTCGATAATAGACCAGAATGCTCGCAACATGTATGTCAGGGACCAGATCAAGAAGCAGTGCTGGGACGCCATGGACGTCAAGGGCAAATCGGTGCAGGTGGGTGTAATCACCATGAACTATATGTGGTTGTTACATTTGTTAGTTTCGTCGTTTCAGCTCACGAAAACGTGAGCCGTCCTATGACACAGCGAATGCATTGCACACATGCGAAAAGTGTGGTAATTTCGAAGAGTGTGCTACTGTGTAGAAGATACATTAATGGAACTAAGACAGGGAAAACGTCAGCATTACCACGCAAATCATGCACTGCTTAATCGAAAGAAGCCATACTAATTGACCTTTGCCATTATCCTACGCATATTGATGCCAGCAGCAGACCGTTGAGCTGGTAAGCGTAGTCAGACGGCAGATTGATGGACGAGTGCGCGCTACGGTAGCCTGTTCGTGTTGACATGCTCTGCGCTCAGGGCCTGATGCTGAACCTGGATGTGTCAAACTACCCGCTGCTGGCGCGCTCGGACCAGCTGCGCGCCGTACTGGACGCGCTGCAGGAGCGCCGCCAGCTGGAGGTGGCTGAGCGGCAGCTGCAGCAGGAGCTGCTGGAGCCGGCGCCGCCGCCGCCGCCGCCGCCGGCCGCGCCCGTCTCGGCGCCGTCCTCCCTGCACAGGTCAGCACGGCCGGTCGGGCCGCGCCGCCGGCCGGCCGCCGCCGTCAGCAGGTGGCGGACCGGTGCGGCCGCCATCGGTCACGCCCAGGCTGATTGCTGTGTGGGCCCAGACGAGGAGGCCTGACCGATGGCGGGTATCTGCCACGGACGCGGCCGCACCCCGGCTGGCTCTGTTCGCCGGAGTAGTCGGCACCGCTTGCCTCCCATTGGTCAGCTCGTTAGGGGCCTCAGTCTTGGCCAGCGTGCGCCGCGGTCGTAGATGCGATTGACGCGGCGTCGTTCCAGCCCCGCGCGCGTGCTTGTTCCAGGGTTGGAATGGAGATGGCGTCGTTACATGGTCCGCAGGGATGATCGCGAGGCCTGGAGACAATCTTGACTGCCGCATCCCAGCTACGTAGAGCTTAATCTACGTCTGTTCGAGTGGCGTGAGCTGATCGTCTGACATGGGAACAAACATGTGTTGTGCATTTCTTTGCGAGACTGAAGAATGCGCTTCATTTGGACAGTAGATATGTCCAGACCTGGACTTTTTGTTTTATCGCAAAGTGATCTTCCAAGTCGAACTATATCTTCTTCGCTGACATTTGTTGGCTCCACAAGTCAAGTCTGCGTGTGAACACGGTTTCTGACGTCTTGAGATTGCGTGGTCGAAGCGAGAGGCGATTATTCGTTATGCCTCGCGACTCCACTGGTCTCTGTTGGTGCGGTATCTACCGCGAGTGGGCAAACATGCGCATTTCTCCCATTCAGAGTTAAAGTACAGATTGCATGTCACGCTTAGCCTCAAATGTAATGATCGAGAACGGATTTTCGACTCCTTGCGATAGCCAGCAACATAGACTCGAGATTGATACGCATTGATGTCTCGAGAATCTACTGAGCCTAGCACACGGAATGCCACCATTTCCGACAAAAACAGAACGTTCAGACTTTTTCTAATTCAAGGAATTTTATTGACAGGCTGGAACTAGCCTCTTCTTATTGAGCTACGGGCAAATGCGTCATCGCGTCAGTCATAGCCAAACACGTTCAGGTTTTCAACCCAGGACTTTCCTCAGCCGAGAGCCTCCAGCTGAAAGATTTGTGTTGATGGTAAATGGCATGGTTATTTCACCAGCAAAATGTTCAAGTTTAAGTGCTCTCACGTTTCAAAATGCAGTTTGTTAGTAGTTCATGAGAATCGATGCGTTCTATGGAAATATTAGTGCCAGACGGATGCTTTTTGCCTCGCAAAGCCATTAGAACTAGAGACGCAACTTCCTAACGGCCAGCCTGCCACATGTGACACGGCAATAAGCCACAGAACCTTGCAGGCCAGACTTGGCGGGCCTTTGCGTGTAAAATGTCCAGAACTGGGACAGTGCATTTTGGGCTTGTGTTCAAATTTTGAAACCTTGCAATAGTCAAAGATGAAATCTATGCACAATGAAATGCTCTAAGTGATATTTGTCGTGCCACGTCTAACGGTGTTTGTAATCGGGGTTCTATATCACGGAAAACCCATGTCATACGCCGCGCCAGACAAACATATAGAAAATGCAACTTTCGTGCAAACATCTGGCGGAAAGGTTAGCACACATAATTACCAAAACGATCACATTTTAAAAGTCAGAGCTCTTATGCTGAGGTATCGACCTTCCATATCATGGGTACCGTTCAAACGACGTTGGAGAGCTGACATTTGCAATATTTGTATTATCGATACTCAGTCGAGTGTTCTGAGTTTGTTTCACACGGGCTGATATATAATGGAGGTAGTTGGGTGTGTCGCAGGCGCGGTAATTGTTAAAACTTACTGGTGACATCAGAAAGTTACATTGGAGCTTAAATGAGAATCGCATTGACTCGCATTACAAGTTAGTGTATTTGTTAGACTCCAATCTCGAAAATGGTTCCTTTGATCAAAATGGCCTCGTTGCAATGAGACGTGCCCCTGATTGCCAAACTCCGGTGTGATGTGCTCTGGTTTGTGACCATTTTAAAACAGGTACATCGTGCTCCGTCAGTTTACGGAATTCTGCATTGTAATGTAGATCTCATTTCATGGCGTGGCGGGCTTCCAATTGCATTGCAGCGCGACAAATCGTGTTTTACTGTATCGCGCCCAGGTCATTTTCTCGCTATCCTCAAGACCCGATGCGCTTAGCAGAATTTTCCTACAGGTAATGGTTCCTTGCACGACTGTCTTGCTACTCATTCTACCTAATGCAAAGGACATGACGAAAATGAGCCTTACTTTGTCGGTGAATTGTGATCTTCGCGAGTAATGATCAAAGTCGCGCAGACAGTAATGGCGTTTCTAATTCAAGGTTTAAGCTCAGACGCGACTGGGTTTCAATGTTGACGATCTCACACAGGCTGAGATCACGCGACTGGACTTCAATGCTACCTGGCCACTGGTGACCATGGCCGCTGGCGATGTTACTACTGACAGCGTGCCGGCTGCGTGGTCCAGTGGCTGCTGGCGGAGCCGCGACTTGCCACACGGTGATGCGATCGCTTGACAGCCGACCACACCTGCAAAAGATCTACATCACCTTATAACACTTCGGAAATCGCTGGATCACGCTATGACTGTTTCCTAACGTCCTCAAGTCGAAAGATGACGTCAGTCTGCATTCGGCAATTCGGGGCTTGCCGCATCGCGATGTGACGGTTTGAAACGACCGGTGACCGCCTCAGGATTGAAGCCCAACATGTCTGTGTTTGCATTTTGTCGTGCCTACAATGCAGTGCATTATACACGCTCGATAACAGAAACTCCGTAGTCGTATTTTTGTTACCGTTACTGTTACTTCTGTCACTAATTTCCAACGCGCAGGTAACAAATTAATGTAAACTGATGATACAAATGAGCATTGCTCGAAAATTGTCGCAGTTTGATTGATAATTGTTGGAGAGCAATGGAAAATTAATTAGGATTAATTGAAGCACAATGCGGACCCAAGTCCGAAAAATGCTCCGTGGTTGTTTTTTCCACCACATTTAAGAACATACTACTGACAAAAGCAAAATGTGCGGGACTTTTAACGCCTTACGAGAAACTTATTATGTTAACTTGAAGATTTTACGCTTAACTAACCTTAAAGCCTTAACTCGTACACTTCTCGGACATGAGACTCCTTGGGGACAATACTAGGGTGTCCATTGCTTTCCTCGGTTGCGGTTATTTCAAGTTCTTCACTGACAACCTATCGCTCGTTGTCGGAGATGGTCTCTTTGAAGTATTTATCGCGAGCCTACGCATCGCTAACGAACTTGATGATCTGGAAGGACTCTACGTGCGACGTCTGAGCCATTTCCGTCCACTTGCTGTTGTAATCGACCATGCATATGGCGAAGCGGATGCCACTTTTCGCCACTTTTCGCCACTTTTCAGTCGTAAAACGCCACAAAACGCCACTTTTCAGTCGTAGTCACCACCACAGGTGGCGCTTTGTTTACCCGGAGAGGTCCTGGCCGTCTTAATGTTTGTCACCTCCCCTCCCCCATGTTTGACCCAAATAAATGGAAGTAATACCGAAGGATGTCCTCATGAATTGGTGCTTCTCGTTATCACGTGGCTGGGCTATTGCTGTGAGCTTTCACGCTCCCACGAACGGCGGTTATCAGAGCGTACACTTGACCGGTGCAGGTGGCCGCGTTTCGTTAGCATGAGCCGCGTGTACGTACGGTGAGCGTACCTCTGAAGGAACGAGCCGGTGCCTTCAGCTGGGTGGCCCGGCAGCAGCGGTCGCCGCCGAGGGGCCGCTCGCGCTCAGGTCTGGCTGGAGCTGGACAGGCCGGTGCACCGAGAGATTCGCCGCGCTCTGAAGAAGCCGGCTGATCACATCAGGCGTGCGTGTCGCCGACGTCTTCTGCGCTGACGAATTGCTCTGTGCTCACAGTGCGCCACTGGAGGAATTAGCTAATGTCTCGGCCAGTGTATCTCCCTCGTCGACTCTGCCGCATCGAATGTCCTCTGTCAGTGGGGGCTGTTTATCTCTGTCCGTGTCCCAACCGCAGCGGCCGTTCGGCCGGCGCCCAGCACGGCGTTGGATGAGCGGCGCTGCCGCTGTGCGCGCACGGGATGAGCCGCCCCCGCGCCGATCGTGTTCGCTGACGGTGGGCGTAAGAGTGACGTTTCCGTGACGTCAGCGCCCCCGCCCTCTGGCAGGCAGTCGACGGCGTCGGTGGATGCCGACCAGGTGACGCCGGTCGCCGAGGACGAGCCGGAGAACGAGGACGAGGACGGGAACGAGGACGAAGATGAGGAGCAGCAGGAGACGACCCACACGGGTAGCCTCAGTCACCAGCTGGGCGTCACCAACCCCTGGCTGCTCTCGCAGTTCGACATCACCACTCGCAAGCAACGCGTGGAGCAGATCTACATGCTGCGGGTGACACTGGCGTTCCGTCGGTTCTCATAACGGCTGTGGGCTTCTTACAGCATGAGTTTCAATCTGTCACTCTCAGTCAGCGAGGAGGAAATATGTGCCTCACTACATTCTCACGCAACATGTTTGGTGTTTTACGGTTTATCTGATACTTAAGTCATGGCCTAGCCCATTTAGTAATTTCTGTGGTGTCCTGGGCGTGTCCACGAGTTTCATCTGTTCTTCTGACGATTTGATTGCTTCGGTTACCGTATCCATCGCCGCCTTCCGTTGTACGTTCGCTATGCATTCTGCGACATAGTACCGACTTTCCCCCGGCCAGGAGGTAATTTACCAGCTCAAAGAGAAGTTCAACGAGCGGTTCGAGGCGCTGTACAAGTCCAAGTGTGGCGAGGTACACCGCATCACCGAGTGGGCGCAGCGGCTGCAGCACATCTACTCGGAGCTGGACATGAGCGAGCAGCCCTGGCTGCCGCAGTGGTCGGACGCCGAACAACCCGAGACTCTGCTCACCGTGCGGGATGACGAGGTCAGACATGTGGCGTGCTGCAGACGTGGCGTGCGGCGGCCGTGGCGGACGTGTGTGCGTCAGACGTGGCGTGTGGCAGACGTGGTGTCAGACGTGGCCTGTGGCGGACTTGACGTGTGGCAGAGGCTGGGCGGGCAGCCACCAGTGCGTTAACGTCAGCTGACGACTGGGAGGCGCGCGCCACCTGCCAGCTGACTACCGATGCCAGCTGCCGCCGCGCATGCAGGTCTAACCTGCGTGGCATGATCACGCGCAGAACGACGACGGAGTCGTACCTGTCGCGTGTATGCGTGACTGTTGCCGTGTGTGCGTCAGGTGACGGTGGAGCGGTACCTGACGCCGGCCGAGCGGGAGCGGCTCGAGGCCCAGGCCGCCGAGGAGGAGCGACGACGGAGTCGTACCTGTCGCGTGTATGCGTGACTGTCGCCGTGTGTGCGTCAGGTGACGGTGGAGCGGTACCTGACGCCGGCCGAGCGGGAGCGGCTCGAGGCCCAGGCCGCCGAGGAGGAGCGACGACGGAGTCGTACCTGTCGCGTGTATGCGTGACTGTCGCCGTGTGTGCGTCAGGTGACGGTGGAGCGGTACCTGACGCCGGCCGAGCGGGCGCGGCTAGAGGCCCAGGCCGCCGAGGAGGAGCGACGACGGAGTCGTACCTGTCGCGTGTATGCGTGACTGTCGCCGTGTGTGCGTCAGGTGACGGTGGAGCGGTACCTGACGCCGGCCGAGCGGGAGCGGCTCGAGGCCCAGGCCGCCGAGGAGGAGCGACGCCGCCGCGAGCGCGAGGCTAACGACTTCCGGGAGCGCGCCATCATGCAGATGATGAACGGCGTGCTGGAGGTCCGCTGGGAGGACACACTCAAGGTGGACGTGCCCCGGCCGGCGTTCATGGTGAGTCATCGTCGAGGTGCGCTGTCACCGCACGAATCATAATCAGCGATTATCGGCCTGCTCAGTATTTGAGGAAGTGGCGATTAATTGCGAAGCATAGAACCGCTTCGGCTAGTTGAGGTTTCAACGGCGCCGGCGACGGTGTGCTCCTCTTCGCCGCCGGAACGTATTGTGACACAAGTCCCAGAAAGGTGTGTTTGCTTGTGAAAGTTTGTCATGCCTTGTGATGGGTGCACCTCAAGGAGAGTGACGTCGGCTGGTGGCTTTGGTTTATGCACGAACCCAGATAAGTTGCAGTGCAGACAGATAAGGCTTTATGGCAAGGTATGATACAGGAATTTGATTAACCGATGATGACCAACTAACGCCTCTGCATGGCTTATCACGCTTAGCGAGCACCTATTCAGCACGTTTACTGAGCCACGTGGTGGGGCCCACGCATTTCCACAGCGTCCATCTGTGCGTTCAGATGGCGCCGCGTCTGTCGAGTGGGTTGGGGTGGGCCCACACAGCGTCCATCTGTGTGTCCAGATGGCGCCGCGTCTCTTGAGTATGGTTGGGCCCACACAGTGTCCATCAGTGTGTTCAGAGGGCGCCGCGTCTGTCGAGTGAGATGGGGACCGTGCCAGCGGCGAGCCTGGTCCCCGTGCGCTGGCGGCGCGGAGCCCGGCTGTGACCCGGCGGCGTCGCGGCCGCCGCAGGACGAAAAGGAGCCGGACGACTGGACCGAAGACGAGGTCAAGGAGGCCGCCGAGTACGAGCGCAGGGCGGCCGAGTTGGAGGTGGAGCGGGACAAGTACCGCAAACTGCTGGAGCAGGAGCTCAAAAAGATGCTGGTCACCCTGCAGGTAGGCCGCTGGGGCATGGCTCACGGTCAGGGGGCGACAGATGCGAGTCCCAGCTGGCATCGGCGCGAGATGTCACGCAGAGTAGCAGCCTCTCGGCACTACTGGGCTGTGTGTCAGCTGCGAAGCTGATACACGGCTCGCAGTGCTCCTTCGAAGCAGAAGGAGAGCCTTTTTGTTTTAATAAGTATCCTTGTCCTATCATTTACCCCGCCCGCCCTCCCCCCTCCCCTTCAGGGAGTTTGCATTCACAAGTGTTTTACTAGAACTACGGGCGTCACAGCGTAGACATTTACTCCGGCCGTCTATTAAGCATTGCGTAACCGTGAAAAAGTCGAGCCTTGTGTGTTTTGCCAGAAGTATCGGTGTCATGACGTTCAAAAGTAGTGGAACTGGGATTTTAAGCATATCGTGCGCGCGGAAATTTTATGAGCAGTAAGTACGCAGCACTAGATGTTTAGAAGCTGACCTGAGGGTTTCGCCACCGCCGGTAGACGACTTCATTTATATCTATTGCATGTTGATAACGTGGAAATGGGTGAATATTTTCACGCCACCCCGCGCCATATCGTCATCTTGCTGGTTTCCCTGTCTTGTTCGTGATATTTATGCGTCATTATTTCCCGGGGCCCTTCCGCCGTGTGTGATGTATGTCACGCTGGGTGCTGCGCTGGGCCGGTCGTCGGCCAGGCGCGGCCCAGTGCGTCGGCCGGCGGCCGCAGCGGCGGGGCCAACGCCGCCGCCTGACGAGGCGGTCGCCGGGTGGCGTCATTAGCCGACCGCCGTGTCCGGGGGGCGGGTCCCGGCGGCCCGGCATCCGGCCTCGGCGCTGGCAACGGCCCTGCTCACGGCCGCAGCTCACCGACGCTGCACGGCCGGGCCGGGCCGCGCTGCCGAGAACACGGGCAGACGTGGGCCGGCTGGGGAGCTGAGACAGGCATCACACAGTGCAGTTGGCTGGAGGTGGGATCGACGTGGTATATCAGGGTGGAGGTGGGACTGACTCGGATATGGGGGAGGACGTTTAGGTCAGACCGGCCTAGTTCGTCAGCGTAGGGACTGGGATTGATCCAGCTGTCGGGCGCTCATGAGGCGGTGGACCAGTAGGGACCGGGACTGATCTAGCTGTCGGTCGCACAGAAGACGGTGGACCAGTAGGGACTGGGACTGATCTAGCTGTCGGTCGCACAGAAGACGGTGGACCATTAGGGACCGGGACTGATCCAGCTGTCGGTCGCACAGAAGACGGTGGACCAGTAGGGACTTGGACTGATCCAGCTGTCGGTCGCACAGAAGACAGTGGACCAGTAGGGACTGGGACTGGTCTAGCTGTCAGGTGCTCAGGAAACGGTGGACCAGTAGGGACCGGGACTGATCTAGCTTTCGGTCACACAGGAGACTGTGGACCAGTAGGGACTGGGACTGATCCAGCTGTCGGTCGCACAGGAGACGGTGGACCAGTAGGGACTGGGACCGATCTAGCTGTCGGTCGCACAGGAGACGGTGGACCAGTAGGGACTGGGACTGATCCAGCTGTCGGTCGCACAGGAGACGGTGGACCAGTAGGGACTGGGACTGATCCAGCTGTCGGTCGCACAGGAGACGGTGGACCAGTAGGGACTGGGACCGATCTAGCTGTCGGTCGCACAGGAGACGGTGGACCAGTAGGGACTGGGACTGATCCAGCTGTCGGTCGCACAGGAGACGGTGGACCAGTAGGGACTGGGACCGATCTAGCTGTCGGTCGCACAGGAGACGGTGGACCAGTAGGGACTGGGACTGATCCAGCTGTCGGTCGCACAGGAGACGGTGGACCAGTAGGGACTGGGACTGATCTAGCTGTCGGTCCCACGGGAAACGGTGGATCAGAAGGGACTGGGACTGATCTAGCTGTCGGTCGCACAGGAGACGGTGGACCAGTAGGGACTGGGACCGATCTAGCTGTCGGTCGCACAGGAGACGGTGGACCAGTAGGGACTGGGACTGGTCTAGCTGTCAGGTGCCCAGGAAACGGTGGACCAGTAGGGACTGGGACTGATCTAGCTGTCGGTCGCACCGGCGACGGTGGACCAGAAGGGACTGGGACTGATCTAGCTGTCGGTCGCACAGAAGACGGTGGACCGGAAGGGACTGGGACTGATCCAGCTGTCGGTCGCGCAGGAGACGGTGGACCGGTTTGACGACAGTCTGAATCAGCTGTTCACGCTTAAGGTACAGACGGAACACGCTATCTACCAGGAGGAGCTGAAGGTCAGCAGACTGATCCGGGATGTGGCCAGCGAAGATGACCGCCAGAAACGGGAGACCGAGCTCTGGTGAGCGCCGGCAGCGACAGTCATGCAGCACCTGGTTGGATGCTGGCTGTGTGCGTGGGCGACTTGATTGAACGAGATGCCTGTATGGGATGGCTTTCTACAGCTCGTTCAATAGGGTTTTGTATTTTCTTTGGTGAAATATTTTTTATCCGGTCGCCAACTTTATTTTAGGGCCATGGTATTGGGATATGAATACGGAGCGTATGAAAAGTACAATGCTCAGCAGGACCTAAGCGTTCAAATGTACTGCAGTGGCGCAAGCAGGGGGAGGGGCACAGGGAACGTCCCCTCTTAGGTTCCGAAGGGTCCTTCGGTCCCTTGGGGACCTACGATTAAGGGCTCGAAAGGCGCATGTCAGAATTAGTTTTCACTTCCGTAAGGCACGGTCTACGGGCTTGGTCATGTTAATGCGAATTGTTTACCCATTTCGAGCTGCAATCTTCTATAAAATGAAGATCGTCGGCCATTTTGTCATGCAGTCGCTTAACACATGATTTCTTCAGTTCAAATTGCTTAGAATTCTGGCAGAACTTATTTTGCGGTAGCGTCTGGCGTCTATTCCAGTCATGAACAGATAAAAAGGAATGATACGAAATGCCCTCACTAAACATGGACCCATATCTGTCGATCTTATTTCGTTTTGGGGATCTTTCATTATCAGGGAGCCCTTTATCAGCCCTGTGTCCCTCCCCCCCAAGGCTCTGGCCGCGCGCCTGATGTACTCCACGGAGTCTCGTGGGGGCAGTGCTCTTTGGCGGTTCGGACGAGTTAGCGTGCAGTGGACGTTCCGGCTCCCACTCTGTCCTTACTGACTGTCTTTAGCTTAGTCGCGTGGCAACCAGTGATGTGGTGTGACACGGAAGCAGAGATCAGTGAGCAGGATGGACAATTGTGTTACACTTTGAGTCAAGTAACAGGATATATTTTTCCGCTTCTTGTCTCAGGTAAATGGCTGCCAAGTTACTTGACACCGCACGGCGCGCCAATTAGCGTTATTTACTGTATGACGCCTGTCTCGCCGTCATCCAAACGTTCGGTTTGACCATAAGAGATACGCTGGCTCATCGTGACCCGTCGGCTGCCTACCGAGTAACGTCTAAACTACAGCTTGTGTCGGCAGCCGCCAGATGGATATGACGCAGCAGCGCAAGATCGGCCTGCAGGCGGCCAACGCCGACCTGCGCCGGGCGCTGGAGGCGGCGCGCGCCGCCCAGGAGCCGCTGATGCAGCAGGACCGGCTGATGGAGCGCGGCTTCCGGCGCGAGTTTGCCGACGTGCCGTCCAACGTGGTGGACGCCCTGTTCCGTTACTTCAGGTGACGTGCGCCCGGCGCGGCGCGCGGCACTGGTGGTGGGGGTTAGGTGGCCGGCCCCGCCGCGGGCGGGGTGGTGCGCAGGCTGTGTTTCGACTCCAGCTCCAGTATCACTGGCTGACCTCAGCTTAGCCGCGTGGTAGCCAGTGGCGTATCGTGGCACGGAAACGGAAATTGGTGCAAGCGGGATGGAGAACTGTGACGTCTAAGTCGACTATGCTCGTCAAACACACCGGCTGCACTGTCGTCACGTAGCGGGCACGATCCGGGCCTTAAGGAGGGATGTGTCGCACACATATCTGGCGGTGTGTCTGACTAGCCCCCCCCCCCCCCACCGCCCCTCTGCGGCGCTGGCCGTAGGCCCGGCCGCACCGGAGCTGCCTGCTCGCCGAAGCACGTGTGTATGTGTGTGTGTGTGGGCCCGGCAGACGGCGTCCGCCGTGTCTGCGCCGCCACATGGGGCCGGGCGGCCGCCGCTTCACGCTGGCGGAGGACGGCGTGATCGAGGTGGACAAGCGGCACCACGGCCGGCGCCGCTCCCGCAGCCGCAACCGCAGCCGTCACGGAAGCCGCTCGCCCGTACGTGCAGAGTGCTCCCGTCCTCCGGTCAGCCAGCGGGGCGGGCGACGTCACTCGTTATATGGAATGGCTTGGTGTCACTCGGCGTGGGCAGCTGGCATGTGATACAAACTTGCTTGTTTTGTTTTATGTGACGGCCAGTTCGTGTCTCCCGGTGTGTGACACAAACTGGCCGTCACGTATATCATTCTGCAATGTTCTGTGGGTTCGTCCCGACTTCTTCGCTGCTGTTCCTCCGTTGCTGTTTTCTTGCATGAGGTGCTCCGTCTGTCCGCGCGCCCGGCACTCGCCCTGTCTGCGCGCCGGGCTTGCAGTCAGCGTGCACGCGTGCGTCAGGCGGCGGGCTCCAACCGGGAGAGCGTGTCGCGCGAGCCGACCGATCCAGAGCATGCCCGCCGCACCACCCTGGCCGTGCCTGGCGCCTACCGCGGCTACGTCTCCTCCATGCACGGCGGTGCACCCTACCAGGCCAACGTGAAAACCGTGCCCGGCAAGGTAACCCGTCCTCGTCCTTTGCCACCCGCCCCGCTTCCGCCCCTGCGACCGGCTGGCCACGAGTCAGACCCGATACTCTCAGAACTCTGTGCAGCTGAGCCAACTGGCCGTGATGGCGTTTATGGCCGCGCCACCCAAAACGGCTCAGAACAGGTTTTTTGGCTAGGCTGGGCGGGCTAGCTACCGAGCGCTCGCCTATACTTATTTAACGTGTGGATGTTGCGCACGATAACGCCGCCGTTCCCTGTTCGTTTACAGCTGCGGACTGTAGCGCCTGAACCCGTGTGTCTGTTGGCCTCTGCCATATCAGAGGTGTCAGGTATGCTGTTTGCCATGACTAACGCCGCGTCTGCTTTATAATACGCGTTGCAACAGCGGGCGATTCTGGAGGCGATGAAGGAGCTGGACGACGACGCGCAGCGCTCGGAGGATATCGAAGTGCCGCTCTGGCTCAAGATGTGCCAGCTGCGGCTGGCTAAGGTGCTGATGGAGTTCAAGGTACGGCCCTCGGCGACCGGCTGGGGAGAGCACGTGTGCACGTGTGCGGCTGCGGCCGGGCGCCCGGCGGATGACCCTGCGGTGTGGGAGCCCAAGAGATCCGTGGGAAGGGGGGGGGGGGGGTGCGGGTGAGCCCCTTCGGCCTGCCGGCGCACGCGTCCGCTGTCACCTGGCTGTGTAGGCTAGAGAGCAGGGCTGGCGCCAACCACACACCCTGCGCAGGTGCTGCGCTGCAATGCCGAGGTGGCCGCCCTGGTGGACTCGATCGAGAAGCGGTGTCACCTCGAGGAAGCGCTCACCATCCGCTCGCAGGCGCTCATCTCGGAGCTGGCCGAACTGCGCGAACGGCGGCTGCGGCAGCTGCACGACCACGAGGTACCTGCCCCTTTGTCTGTCTCGTGTCATGTCGTGTTTTGTCGTAGGGCAGTAATGGCACGTATAAGTCCGCAGTAGGAGGGATGCGTGTAAGTGATGACAATAGGTTTGTGCAACAGAAGTGAATATGACGTGTAAGGGTTTTGTAGCATAAGTTTTGTCACGTAGCAGGTATGCTGTGGGAGTATTTACAGTAAAAGCAATGTCGTAGCTTATCCGTAGGGATGAATTTTTGTTGTAGCACTGATGTTGAACCTTGAAAAATCATACTTTGGAATTCTCAACAAGATGTAAGATTGGTCGTTTGGTTGATCCTTGCCAGGCTCCAGATCAGACCGATGGCGACCTGGGACGTTTGTGGTCTAGGCCGTGCCAGGCTTGGTGGCTTTTACGGTATGTGCCGTGCCTCAGAGTCAGTGGACAATCTGATGGGGCCGACGCGGCGTGATGACTTGGTGACGTCCGTTGTCGGTGCCGTGCCTCAGCGTCAGTTGATAATCTGTAGCCGACGCGGCGTGGTAACTTGGTGACTTCCGTGGTCGGTGTCGTGCCTCAGAGTCAGTTGATAATCTGTAGCCGACGCGGCGTGGTGACTTGGTGACGTCCGTGGTCGGCGCTGCGCTTCAGATCCAGCTGGTGGTGAAGCAGGGCCAGGTTGAGATAGACCTGGGTGACTTCTGTCCCGACTTCACGGGCTCGGCGCTGATCCACCGCTCGCGGGTGGAGCTGCTCAACAAACAGATCCTGGTACGGCTCGCTGACCGCCGCCGGGTGTAAATGACTGGTGCCGCGTCACGGCTAACACGGGCACCGTTGGTCCCCACTGGAGACGTGGTGAGGGAGCCAACGTCTCTTGAAATGCGTGGAACGCTGAATGGCTCTCGCACTTTCTGGGACTCGACCTGTCCAGTGTCGTATTATGTAATCATTACGCTTCACATGTTTTGCGAACTTGGACATAATTCTAGACGCGTTCATTCTGCATAGCAATTCAGTATTCTTGGAATTGAAACGAATTGTCGAACGGCCGTATGACTTTGGGTCCATTCGAGAGTGCATCAGACGTATCGACTGGTGTGGCGTGCTGCGGCAGGGCATCGGCGGCAAGAAGCTGGAGGTGATGCGGGACGCGCTGCGGTTCCGGCGCGGCATCGTCATGCAGCGCTGGGAGTACGAGCGCTGCCGCATGACGCTGGAGGACCTGGTGCAGACACTGCGCGACATCGACTTCATGAAGGTGCGCTGTTGGGGCCGCCGCCGATGGCGTCCGGCTGCCCCGCAGGGTGTCAGGACGTTGGCCGGGGATAGTCATGGCCGCCGGGGGCGTCCGGCTGCCCCGCAGGATGTTAGAGTGTTGGCCAGAGATAGTCATGGCCGCCGGGGCCGCCGCCGATGGCGTCCGGCTGCCCCGCAGGATGTCAGAGTGTTGGCCAGAGATAGTCATGGCCGCCGGGGCCGCCGCCGATGGCGTCCGGCTGCCTCGCAGGGTGTCAGGACGTTGGCCAGGGATAGTCATGGTCGCCGGGGCCGCCGCCGGGGGCGTCCGGCTGCCCCGCAGGGTGTCAGAGTGTTGGCCAGGGATAGTCATGGCCGCCGGGGCCGCCGCCGGTGGCGTCCGGCTGCCCCGCAGGGTGTCAGGACGTTGGCCAGGGATAGTCATGGCCGCCGGGGCCGCCGCCGATGGCGTCCGGCTGCCTCGCAGGGTGTCAGGACGTTGGCCAGGGATAGTCATGGTCGCCGGGGCCGCCGCCGGGGGCGTCCGGCTGCCCCGCAGGGTGTCAGGACGTTGACCGGGGATAGTCATGGCCGCCGGGGGCGTCCGGCTGCACCGCAAGATGTCAGAGTGTTGGCCAGGGATGGTCATGGCCGCCGGGGCCGCCGCCGGCGGCGTCCGGCTGCCCCGCAGGGTGTCAGAGTGCTGGTCAGGGATAGCCATGGCCGCCGGGGCGCTGTGGTGGCGTTCGGCTGCACCACAGGATGTCAACGTGTTGGCTAGGGATGGCCATGGTCGCCGGGGCGCTGTGATGGTGTCCGGCTGCCCCGCAGGGTGTCAGAGTGCCGGCCAGGGATAGCCATGGCCGCCGGGGCGCTGTGGTGGCGTTCGGCTGCACCACAGGATGTCAGCGTGTTGGCTAGGGATGGCCGTGGCCGCCGGGGCCGCTGTGTCGGCGTCCGGCTGCCCTGCAAGTGTCAGAGTGCTGGCCAGGGATAGCCATGGCCGGCGGTGGAGCTGCAGGCACCGAGCAGCGTCGGCTGGTGGTGAAACACTGGCGACACTCTGGTTTTTAACGCACGCCCCGCGCAAGCCCTGGGTCAAGCGGACTTACCATCATTTGTTGGTGATCGCTACTGTAGTGCCCACTCAGTGTTGCCCAATAGCAACTATTCACTTAAGCTGTTGGTTTGGTGCATTAAGAACCGATTTCGTTGTCATCTGCGACCACCGGCTGTTATTGAACCTCTCTTTCCTTTTCTTCTCTGCTCTGCTGGCTGTATTTGGACCATTGGACTCCATCGCGACAGTGTTGTGTCGGGGTCGTCAGTTGATTTCACACCTGATGACTGTTGGCTGTGCAAATCTTCATGGAAGTGGAGAGGTCGGCTGTGAGGTGCGCGGTTGTAACGGGAGTGGATAGGTTGGCTGTGGGGTGCGTGGCTGTAACGGGGGTGGAAAGGTTGGCTGGGAGGTGTGTGGTTGTAACGGGAGTGGATAGGTTGGCTGTGAGGTGTGTGGCTGTAACGGGAGCGAGGGGTCGGCTGTGAGGTGCGAGGCTGTAACGGGAGTGGAGAGGTCGACTGTGAGGTGCGTGGCTGTAACGGGAGTGGAGTGGTCGGCTGTGAGGTGCGTGAATGTAACGGGAGTGAGGAGGTCGGCTGGGAGGTGCGTGGCTGTAACGGGAGTGGAGAGATCGGCTGGGAGGTGCGTGGCTGTAACGGGAGTGGAGAGGTCGACTGTGAGGTGCGTGGCTGTAACGGGAGTGGAGAGATCGGCTTTGAGGTGCGTGGCTGTAACGGGAGTGGAGAGATCGGCTAGGAGGTGCTAGGCTGTAACGGGAGTGGAGAGGTCGACTGTGAGGTGCGTGGCTGTAACGGGAGTGGAGAGATCGGCTGGGAGGTGCGTGGCTGTAACGGGAGTGGAGAGATCGGCTGGGAGGTGCGAGGCTGTAACGGGAGTGGAGGGGTCGGCTGGGAGGTGCGTGGCTGTAACGGGAGTGGAGGGGTCGGCTGTGAGGTGCGTGGATGTAGCGGAGCGCAGTAGCCTCAGTCCCTAATCTGCACTGTCTGCCGGACGCTGCCTCACGCCTGGCGGGGTGTCTGCCGGCCAACAGGTGACCAGGGCCATCCAGCAGTATCTGTCGGAGGGCGGCGACACCACAGAGAAAAAGATCGCCCGTCTGGAGCGACGGCTGGACATCCTGTACCAGGTTCGGGTCCCGCTGCCGCTGGTCTCGTCCGCCGCCCTCACGTGCTCTTGACACCTCATGACGCGACACTTTCAATGTGTCATCGCAGGGGCCGTTTTTATATGAATTTGAATATGACTAGAGCGTAGAAACGCTTCTGTAAGGCGCGAGTTCGAGTGTGGTTGCTACATCGCTGACATTTTCCGCTACACCGGTTACCGCCTCATCCACAACGGTCAGTTTTGCCCGCAACACTACCACCACGATCGCGGTGGTCGGCACCGCCCGGTACACTAATTACCACCACGGCCACGGAGGTCAGTATTACCCGCTACACCAGTTACCAACACACCCAGCGTGTGCGTACTGTGCACAGTGACTGTGCCAGATGGGGTACTGCCGATGAGCCGGAGCACGCCGCCGTGACCGTTCTGTGACGCGTCGGCTTGCGGCGTGGCAGGAGGCGGCGCGCCAGCGGGAGGAGGACGCCGACGTCACAGAGTACCTGGAGCGGCTGCTGCGCATCAAGCGGGCCGACAACCAGCGGCTGGCGCTCGAGGCGCGCGAGCTCAACGTCGACGTGTCCGAGCGCGAGCTGCTCTATGACATCCGCTGCAACCATCAGCGGGCGTGGCAGGCGCGCCAGAGGTGGGTCCGGCTGCGGCCGCGGTGGTGTGGTCCGCCCGGGAAGTCGTCCCGCCCCGGCCCGGCCACCCGGCCCGCCATAGGCAGTCGTCCACCGGCGGCAGACAGCTGTCGCCGGGCGGCATTGGAAGTCATCCGCCGGCTGAAACGCGCTGTGCTGACGGGCTTTCTGGACTCGGTGCATACGAACTCAACAGTGGGAGATCGAACTTGAAAGCGTGATATCACGAGTCCACGACGCTGTAACTGCAGCTGCCCCGGTGCGTGCTGGGAGCCTGCGTGCAGTGGTGTGATTGTGTGCTGCGATATGCGCCTGGTCGGCAGTATGTTGTGGCGGTGTCCGGTCTGTGCCGTACGTACGGTAAAGGGGCGACTCGTCCGCAGGCTGGACAACCTGCGCAAGATCCGGGACCTGTGCGACATCGCCGGCTTCCAGCAGCGCTACATGACCATGCTGCACAGTGAACTGCAGAGGATGTACAGCAAGACGTTCCCCATGCTGCACGCGATCAACTGAACTGGATCATTCTTCGTCTTGCAGACGTGTGTCACGTGTGCAAAACATTTAAAGTTGCATTATCTTTCTGTCTTTGTTTGCATTCTGCTTGATGTTATGTGGGCGTTTTTAATCATGATTCAGTCAGTAACAGGCGTACTTCCCGTGGCTTGTCGACAGGTCAGTGGCATGTGTGTTTATAAAGTGTCCAAATTGTATAGCCTTGAAGGATGATAGAGGGACAAAGATATCGACAGTCTGATATTGTTCGTAGATCATTCATGTAGCGAATGTGTAAGCATGTTTTTATTTGGATGTGTTAGATAATGACGCAACGCGCCATGCTGCTCCAAAATTACCGTCTTTAGTGGGGTGCATGTGCTGATCAAATAAATTACTGGAGATTTCCTGAGCGTTGACACGCAGCCGTGTGCGTCTGCGGGTACCCTGCGTCAGCTGGTGGATGAGTGGAAACAGATGGGATGGGACCCAGGACCGGAACACCGGGAAAATGGACCCAGGACCGGAACACCGGGCCGCCGATCCTCAAAGCTTGTGGTGTGCTGGTCTCATCCACTGACCCGGCAGTGCAGTGCTTGTGACAGGGCTGCCCTGCCTGCCAGTCTCAGCGGGATCTGATAGAGGCGGTCGGTAGCAGGGGACGCTCAAATCTCCGGCAACTGTTGGAGCTGGAGGGTGGGAACCGAGTGTTCACGAGGAGTGGTTGTTGAGTGTGAACCATTAATCACAGAGACTGGAGGTGGTCAGGCGCTAGTAGTCAGTGGGACAGACATTGTCAGTGGCCGCTCTCGCCTGGCGTTGTGTGAAAGCGCACGCTGATAGGTGGATTCATCATATTTCAGTTACAGGGCGCGCGGCTCATGGTCACCACCCATCGGTTAGAACCGAAATTGCTGGGAAGAGACGACGGTATAAACACGATGCTCCCGTTGGAAACCGGCGGGCGGACGAATGCCACCGCTCTGCTTCACCGCACGCACCTATAGAGGGCAGCACAGTACCAGTGAAGCATTGGAGCACTGGTGGACTGTGCCCACAACCCCGATCAGGATGGCTAGACCACTTACAATATCGTTAGTCTAACTGCAGAGGGCTCTCATACCGGTGTTACAGGCTATCATGCATCATTTTACGATTGCTCACGCCTGCTTTCTGTAACTAATGCTCGCAGCCCGGGCGTCCAGTTGGTTGTCACTGCCGACTATAAGGTTTGCACTGCTCTGCATGACCCAGTCAGTGCTGGATCACTGTCATCAGTTGTTTAAACCGCGTACTTAATGGCCGTGAGGTGAGGGGACAGTTAGGATGCGTGTGGTGTCAGTGGAAAGTCCTTGGCCGCTCAGTAAGCTCCTGTGCTCTGCAGTCGGTCAGGTCAGGTTGGCTGATGGTGGGGCATGCCTTGACGTCCGTGTCTGTCCCATCTGTCGCTGCACACTGCCTTAACGTATGTGCCCGTCCCATCTGCCGCTGCGCATTGCCCTGACGTTTGCATATCTTCCATCTGCCGCTGCACGCTGCCCTAACGTCTGTGCCGTCCAATGTGCCGCTGCACACTGCCGTAACGTCTGTGTCCGTCCCATCTGCCGCTGCACACTGCCCTTACGTCTGTGTCCGTCACATCTGCCGATGTACACTGCCCTTACGTCCGTATCCGTCCCCTCTGCCGCTGCACACCGCCCTGACGTCTGCATACCTTTCATCTGCCGCTGCACACCGCATTAACGTCTGTGTCTGTCCCATCTGCCGCTGCACACTGGTCTGACGTCCGCGTCTGTCCCATCAGCCGCTGCACACTGCCCTAACGTCTGTGCCCGTCACATCTGCCGCTGCACACTGCCCTAACATCTGTGCCCGTCCCATCTGCCACTGCACACTGCCCTGACGTCTGCATGTCTTCCATCTGCCGCTGCACACTGCATTAACGTATGTGCCCATCCAATCTGCCGCTGCACACTGCCCTAACGTCTGCATATCTTCCATCTGCCGCTGCACACTGCCCTAACGTCTGTGTCCGTCCCATCTGCCGCTGCACACTGTCCTTACGTCCGTATCCGTCCCATCTGCCGCTGCACACTGCCCTTACGTCTGTGTCCGTCACATCTGCCGATGCACACTGCCCTTACGTCCGTATCCGTCCTCTCTGCCGCTGCACACTGCCCTGACGTCTGCATATCTTCCATCTGCCGCTGCACACCGCATTAACGTCTGTGTCTGTCCCATCTGCCGCTGCACACTGGTCTGACGTCCGTGTCTGTCCCATCAGCCGCTGCACACTGCCCTAACGTCTGTGTCCGTCCCATCTACCACTGCACATTGCCCCTACGTCTGTGTCCGTCCCATCTGCCGCTGCACACTGCCCTTACGTCCGTATCCGTCCCCTCTGCCGCTGCACACTGCCCTTACGTCTGTGTCCGTCCCATCTGCCGCTGCACACTGCCCCTACGTCTGTGTCCGTCCCATCTGCCGCTGCACACTGTCCTTACGTCCGTATCCGTCCCATCTGCCGCTGCACACTGCCCTTACGTCTGTGTCCGTCACATCTGCCGATGCACACTGCCCTTACGTCCGTATCCGTCCCCTCTGCCGCTGCACACTGCCCTGACGTCTGCATACCTTTCATCTGCCGCTGCACACCGCATTAACGTCTGTGTCTGTCCCATCTGCCGCTGCACACCGCATTAACGTCTGTGTCTGTCCCATCTGCCGCTGTACACTGGTCGGACGTCCGTGTCTGTCCCATCAGCCGCTGCACACTGCCCTAACGTCTGTGTCCGTCCCATCTGCCGCTGCACACTGCCCCTACGTCTGTGTCCGTCCCATCTGCCGCTGCACACTGCCCTTACGTCCGTATCCGTCCCCTCTGCCCCTGTACACTGTCCTGACGTCTGCATACCTTCCATCTGTCGCTGCACACTGCATTAACGTATGTGCCCATCCAATCTGCCGCTGCACACTGCCCTAACGTCTGCATATCTTCCATCTGCCGCTGCACACTGCCCTAACGTCTGTGTCCGTCCCATCTGCCGCTGCACACTGTCCTTACGTCCGTATCCGTCCCATCTGCCGCGGCACACTGCCCTAACGCCTGTACCCGTCCCATCTGCTGCTACACAATGCCGTGAGTTACCACAGCTCGTACACGGTCTTGTTCAGCATCTGTTTTTATTGTTGGCGGACTTCCGCAGCGTGGAATATCATTAAAAGTAAGTTATGTCTTTGTTTACTTCTGTATTGGTTGAGCAAATAACGAGTGCCGAAGGTCAAACAACCGCGCAAGGAACAATCACGCCGAGATACCTGCGCTGAGCCACAGTACACAACTGGTAACTCTGAAATGCTACACCAGTAAATCCTCTCTAAAGCGACATTAAGACCAGAAGGGAGACGAGCTCTGGCAGCACCAGGACTCTGGTACGATTGCGTGGCTATTCGACTAATCGACATACATATGACCTGAGAATCGCACTCGCACGCCACGTTTGTGACGCCTAGCTTTAAACAGCGGGGCAGGCCTTGCCCCCCTCAATGTCCGTCAGCCCGCCACGTCACGCCTCAAACTAAGCAGCCAGGCTCTGCGATGTGGCTGAGACCCATCACGGCGACTGCCGCTCTCGCCTCTTGCGATCGTACGCTCTCTCTCCTCTCTTTTAGCTAGCGCGAGCGGAGCATGCGCGCAGGAGAAGGAGCTCGAGAGGAGAGGAGGGGAGAGGTCTCGATCTCTCTAGCGCAGATTCTTCTCATCTCTATCTCCTTCTCTCTAGTCTCTCTCTCGCTTATCTCTCTCGATCGCTCTCTCTCTTCACTCGTCCGCTATCGCTTCCCCTCTACTCTCTCTCTACTTTGCTTAGCTCTCTCTCTCTCTCTCTCTCTCTCTCTCCCTCCTCTCTCTCTCTCTCTCTCTCTCTCTCTCTCTCTCTCTCTCTCTTCTCTCTCTCTCTCTCTCTCTCTCTTCTCTCTCTCTCTCTCCCTCTCTCTCTCTCTTCGCTCCTTCTCTCCCTCTCCTCCTATCTCTGACACACACACACTCCCCCCCCCCTCTCTCTCTCTCTCTCTCTCTCTCTCTCTCTCTCTCTACCTCTCTCTCACACACACCCTCTCTCCCGATGTTGGTCGCTGTGCGTTGCCGGCCGGTCAGCAGACGACCGGCGTGACGGCGCTAGCGCGAACAGCGTGGGTAGGCCCGACAGTCGCCAGCCATTGCGCCCTCCGCCACCGCCTTCAGCTTCGCCATTAGGTCCACCTCGTCCTCCGAGTTATCCGAGAACCAGGCCACGCCCGCGCTGGGGGCACAAGATTGGGTCAGATTCAGACCAGGGCTGACCCAGGCCACGTCCACGCTGGGGGTACGAGATGGGGCCAGACACAGACCAGGGCTGACCCAGGCCACGCCCACGCTGGGGGTACGAGATGGGGCCAGACCCAGACCAGGGCTGACCCAGATCAGCGTCACGTTGGGCACTACGCGGTGGCCATGCACACTAAAACCAGGGTAGTCCATGCCGACATACCATTTCAACATTATGCCGGAACGGACCGCCATTTTATACACCATTCATTCTTCACTGAGACAGCTAGCCAGCACTCAAGTAGCGTCGGCCTTCAGCGTGTCGTCGCGGAAGATGCGGTGGCGTGCGCGCTGCCGGGGCCTTGTGTCCCTGCTCACCCCAACATTGACTGGAGCGGCTGCCAGCTGGACGACTGCCCCATACGACAGAGTTGCCAGCGGAGGCAGCCATCCTGCTGAGGATACAGGGCGGCCTCCACCGTCCGGACGATGTCCAGGATGCCACCGTCAGCCGGGTCTGCCGGATGGCCGGCCAGGCTGCGCCCAAGCAGCTCCTGCCAGCCGACACCGTCCTGGTGCACGGTAGGGGCACAGGTCAGGTCAACACCTTCTGTTACTGGCTCAGGACGGGCCCGTCACCCTCGGCCGTGGGAGCATAACGGGTCAGCCATCCTCTGCCAAGAGGCAGGACAAGGAGGCACTACGAAAGGGCCATACAGCAAGGTCATCTATGGCTACGTGGACGTGATCTATGGAAGACATGCATGTTTGTTAAATGCAGCGTCTGAAGCGGCTATAATGCCCGTCGATCCACACCCAGCCAGATTATTGCATGCCATCATAGAACGGCCCACTTGCAGAACTGCAAAGTACATATGATGTTAAGTTTTAGTAGTAAGTTTAGTACAAGTACATAAGTTTTAGTTGGAAATAGCGCGGAGTTTGTTAGTAGCTATTAGATATTTCCATGCACGCTCATCAGACAAGTAAGTGTCAATGTCATCCAACCATGACCGCGACAAAGGTCAGTCAAAGGAAAGGGACTCTCATCTCCGCATGGCGCGCATGCTACTTACGCTTGATACGGCATTGAGGGTCGAAATGGCGATATAGCCAAAGAGGAGAGCCACGCCAATAAGGATGCCAATGAACTGTAGCACCGTGTCGAGGGACAGAAAGCGAGGTAGTGAGGGCTCGGGGCGGGGGCGTCTTCTAACGCCGCTTGTACTGGCCCGCCGCTGAGTTCTCTGGAACAATCTGCAGATGAGCCAGAGCCTGTTACAGACATTCCCTGCATGGACGTATGAGGAGACGGCAGACAGTAGCCACCTCACGAACTGGACACGGGGGGGGAGGGGGGGGGGGGGGGGGGCAGGGAGAAGGAGGGCGTAGGCTCGCTTCGAAAAGATCGTAGGTCACTTTTTAAAAGTTTGACAGGACAAAATAAATCAATTTAACTTGAATGAGCTTCCTTGGAATGTGAGTGGCCATGGTCTCTTTCCGCTTCCCTCCGGGTTGGAGCTCAGATATTTTCATGGAGGGAAACCATAAACGTTACCCACCTTATTTTCCAGACACCCTTCCGTGAATTTCAGCCACTAGCCCGCTGACATATCCTAAATCACGTGATCATAACTGCGTTTGCATTTCGTCTGGATGCGTCTCACACAAGACACGCCCACCTTTGACTCTGGGCGGTGTTACTCGGAGTGCCCTTGAACTGTGTGCAATAGTTCGGAGGTGCGACAGCTTGCAAAACAGCGGATGGGCGTTTGTTTCTTAGTGACGTTTCTTTAGGGACGCATCGCAGCTTCCAAAAATATGGTCCATAACGATTTTGTCCTCTAGTTTTGGGTCAAAAACGTTTCATTTTTGGAGAAAAAGATGCTACTATTTGACCGCAGCACCTCAATGTCCTGGGCACTGCATGTGCCTACAAAAAGCCGCCCCAGGAAGCTGCGGAAGGGCAGCTACTTTGAGAAGCTGTTGGGTTCATCCTAGAAGTGCCAGCCACTGGGGCTGAAGAAAACACTTCACTGAGTGGTGTGAGGGAAATGCTCTAAGACTTCGAAATTTGGAATGGCTCGTCCTGCTTGATATCAAACAACGCTGGGCAGACAGGGGTGGATCCGGAGATAGGGACTGGTTGCGATGCATCTCTCCCTCCCTCCCCGCCTGGGCCACTCATGGGGTTTAGGTAAAATGTCATGGTGAAGAGACATCATTAATGCATTCATTCCGGAACCATATAGCTTCTATTTTTGATAGACACAAAATTAAAGGAGCGCCACAAAGGGTGCCAAATCTTTATTTTCGAGGCAATGAATTTCAGGGGCACCACAATATTCGCGCCGTGCCGATTTGGCGAAGTCCTGGAACGTCCCATTTAGCAAAGAAGCATGCAACCATCATTTCGGGACACCACGGCCTTTATTTTCAGGAGGTACTCAACTCCAGAGATCCTCACAGATAGGCCCAAACCATCAGTTTCAGGGGACATCAAACTCCAGAGTCACAGCAATGCTGCGCCTCCCATTCTAAAGAGGTTTTGAATCAGCTCCTCCTTCACCGCTCGGCGAGTCATCAAAACCTTCGTTTTTCGGCACGATAACATCTGTTTTCCACCTCGTAATTCCAGACAACCAGTTCCAGTAGACGTCACAGAGGGTCCCAAACCTTCATTTTCAAGAGGCAATATATTACAGGAGAACGTGCAATGTTGGAACCGCTCCACTGACGAATTCCCAGATCAAAGCGCTCGCCATAGAGGCACCAAAACCCTCATTTGGAGGCGATATGACGTTTATTTTCTAGGGACACCAAGAACGCGGGCCACTAAAACCTCCCTGAAACCTTCACTTTCAAGGTCACCACAACCGTGTGTTGTACCCTGATGAAATTATGTATTGCCACTACAGTGAAGAAATACAAAAGCCATCAATTCAGAGCGTCGTAGCATTTGTTTTCAAGAATTACCCAATTCCAGAAGGCACCATCAAGGGTTACAAAATGCTCATTATCAAAAGACAACAAATTCCAGGGGACGGGCACCGCAACACAGCCATTTTAAAGGAAATCACTGACGGAGAGAGACTCTGGACCAGCTGAATTCCACGTGACTTGGAACCAGTATCTACGTATTTCGGCGACCTTGTCTTTGTGCCGACAGTTTCTCGCATCTTTTCTTCTCCAGTGTCGTGTGTGCTTTTCTTTTTTAGCAGCAAATGACCTTTGTTATAGCCACGTTTAGACCCCGGACTGCAGAGCGAAGTAGTCACAATATGAAGGGAACAGCACCTCTATTCCAGCTCCTTGTCAAAACGAGACTCTTATATAACTTACCTTCCGCGAATATATACGTTTGCTGATGCGTCTGTCTGTCTGTCGAATTTGCTTGTAGAACCGTACGCGGGTTAAACAAAGGGCATTATGGGCCTGTAATTTTCACTGTATGCGCGTGCGAGCGTGAGGACTGCACCCGCGTGCTGACAGCTCAGTACGGAGATTGATGAGCGTCTTATGCTGGCGGGAAGGTCCGTGTTTTTACTACACAAGGTTATCATTAATTAGATACGTGGGTGAATCAGGTTGAGAGGTATTTAACCCGTCGGACAGGCATTCATCCTGTTGCGCAAGTAACGATGAATCTTGGGATCCCTCAGTAGGACGCCGAATGTTGTGAACAGCACCACTGCACGAAATGTTGGATCGTAGATCGAGGACGATTGTGGAGGTTATTTGCATAGATAAGCTATCAAACGCTATCTGACACTATCGAAGGTGTCGGATCAGCGAGTATTCGACAAACAATTGTAAATAAGACTGGAGCTTTGGCGGCAACGAAGCATTGCGGCAGTGGCGAGATCGTCAGAAATACAATGACATAGAGGTAAAATGACTGGCTTTAAATGTCCGACATGCAAAAGACGGCGCGGTTGGATAAGCAATCGAGAACCAATCACAACCTGCTGTATGGGCTTTGCGCGGACCCAGTTGCACACCGTAGTACATAAAGGTGAGCTCGTTTTATGATCTATGTATTCCAGTTTTGCCATTCCGCGCTACGTGTCTCTGAGTGTTCCAAATATTTTGTAAATACATCCTTCATTTGCTCTGGCCGTTCTGCAATTCAGCAATCACAATTGAATCTGCAGCTGAATTGAGATGCGCCTTGCGATCGCATGACGTACATTTGGAGCCATCCGCAAACAATCGGAATGACACGACTACGCTGGCCTATATCACCGATGGGAAGATGTGCAAGGGACGTCTACAGCGTCATTTGGGCAAATATGCGTGCCCAACAAGATCCAAACACCGACAAGTTGTCCGTTCCTAACATAGGTAGATAAATAAAGCCCGGCATGGGTGATGCATCGCATGGACCTGATGGACTGCACCAAAAACGACTGTCCGACATCGCATCACACGACTGTCAAAGGGAATCAGCACAGGCGGTGAAGGTGAAGGAGGGGAAACATGGGGGCTACCCCATTGTTTACCCCGCTCTCCCTCTTCCCCACCCTATCCACAAAAATCGCAGCAGCAAGTGTTGAGTGAGTACCGTAAGAGTCCTCAGCTACATCTCAGATCCACACAATCTACAAATATTGGCGGGGGGGGGGGGCGGAGCTTGACATTGGGGGATGAACGACCCCAAAAGGGATGCAAAGTTTCATCTCTGCCCCCACCTCCCTGCTGCTCCTACTCTTTTGCAGGGTCGTTGCCTGCAGTTGTGAGTGGTGGAGAAGAGAGTTGACCAATCTTTAAGGAAGGGCTTTTGGCTGGGGACGGCCAGTCGGCCGGTGTGAGGACAGCTGCCAGTTTGCGCGACTTTGGCTGGGGACGGCCAGCCGGCCGGTGTGAAGATAGCCGCCAATTGGGGCGACCTTTTGGCTGGGGACGGCCAGTCGTCCAGTGTGAGTACGATCGCCAGTTGGAGCCACTCGCGCCCCAACCCTGACCGGAAGATCAGCTCCACGACTTAAGAGTGGCGCTGATGGTGAAAAACCTCATCAGCTCATTGGGAGGATGCGTGGTGACGTGTGTTGGCGACGGAAGCCAGCACGTGGCACGCTCTGCACGAGAGTCGGTCCGCGGCTCCTGTCGTCCGCCTGCCAGCGGCGGCGCCAGGCGGCCAGCCGCCGGAGCGGGTCGCGCAGTGGCGCCGTCCGCTTGGCACGCTCTGCAGCTCACGCTCTGCAGGAGAGTCGACCCGCCGCTGCTGCCGGCTGCCTGCCAGCGGCGGCGCCAGGCGGCCAGCCGCCGGAGCGGGCCGCGCGGGTGGCGCCGTCCGCTCGGCACGCTCTGCAGCTCACGCTCTGCAGGAGAGTCGACCCGCCGCTGCTGCCGGCCGCCTGCCAGCGGCGGCGCCAGGCGGCCAGTCGCCGGAGCGAGCCGCGCAGTGGCGCCGTCCGCTCGGCGCCCGCGGCCTGCTCGCGGCGGCCAGCCGGGCGGCAACAGCGCAGGACAGTCGGTCGTAACGGTGTCGAGCACCGGCACGCGAGCAAACGGCGAGGTCAACGACCGCCACGCGACGGAAGCAAGTCGTTACGTCATCGTTGGCCGTTCAAACGGTGGGAATCCGAGACACCGATTGGAAATATTGGAAATACCGGTCGGATCGATTTGAAGACGGAGGACATGTGGACGGGTTGACCATCACCAATGATAACGCGAGCAAAAGAAAAGCGTACTCGCTTGAGGTTGACTTGTACCAGACGACATGCAGCATTCGACTGTGTGGCTGTCGTGCACATGCATCGATCACATACACACACATAGATGTACACACGTGTTGGTACACTTTAACAATGCATCCTGTCACCGCGCCATAGCACAGCCCCGGGTAGCTGAAGGTTCGCCGTGGTGTTGGACACACATGGTCAGCGGTCATTTTTCTGCTGGTCATCGGACGATGAAGCCGCACCAGTTTGTGGCGACGATTTTGTGGTGTGGTGGATTCGAATATCAAAATGACAAGCTATGTGTGGAATAGAGAATGTTGTCTACAAAAACAACACAGACGGCACATCAGAGATACAGCTAGAGTTCCGCATATCAGGTAGCTGTGTGTTCAAGGATTCTCACATTAAACTCATTAGAAGAAATAATTATGATAAATACTGAGCTTGGATTATAGAAAACATGGCCGTGGTTCCAGTAATGGTACCATTGTCTGCTTGTAGCCGGCACAGATGATTGTTTACCTACACGGATGGAAAGCTTCGTGGCGCTTCAAAAACTAAGAACCCAACTGAATCGCAGTTCTTCACCGAACCGAATCACATAATGTTTTCATGGGAAAGTTCGTTTTTAACCCAAGCTGTCAAGAGTATAACCTAGAAACGATGAGAACGTGAGAGCGAGCGGTTTCCGGTGAGAGCTGGTGCATTGGTTACCCGCGCCGCTGCTGTATTTGGTGACCGGGGCGATCGCAGCCGGCGTCGCCTGACCAGGTCAGATCGCTAGTGGCACACGCCCCGACCCAGCCAGCCGGCGTCGCCTGACCAGGTCAGATCGCTAGTGGCACACGCCCCGACCCAGCCAGCCGGCGTCGCCTGACCAGGTCAGATCGCTAGTGGCACACGCCCGACCCAGCCAGCCGGCGTCGCCTGACCAGGTCAGATCGCTAGTGGCACACGCCCCGACCCAGCCAGTCGGCGTCGCCCGATCGTCGCCCGACCCAGCCAGCCGGCGTCGCCTGACCGGGTCAGATCGCTAGTGGCACACGCCCCGACCCAGCCAGCCGAGTCGACGTCGCGACGAGCCGGTTCGGATCGGCTCACTCACAGAGGAGACGGTTCAGATCGGCTCACTCACAGAGGAGACGGCTCAGATCGGCTCACTCACAGAGGAGACGGCTCAGATCGGCTCACTCACAGAGGAGACGGCTCAAATCAGGTCAAACACAGAAGAGATGGTTCAGATCGGCTCACTCACAGAGGAGATGGTTCAGATCGGCTCACTCACAGAGGAGATGGTTCAGATCGGCTCACTCACAGAGGAGACGGCTCAAATCAGGTCAAACACAGAAGAGATGGTTCAGATTGGCTTACCCACAGAGGAGACGGTTCAGATCGGCTCACTAACAGAAGAGAGGACTCAGATCGCGCCACTCACAGAGGAGACGGATCAAATCACGCCACTCATAGAAGAGACGGACCAAATCACGCCACTAACAGAGGAGACGGCTCTAATCGGGTCACTCACGGAGGAGACGGCCCAGATCGGGTTGCAAACAAAGGAGGCGGCTGAGATCGGGTAGCTCACAGATGAGACGGCTCAAATCAGGCCACTCACAGAGGAGACCGCCGCTGTGGCCACCAACGCCGCCGTGACGAAGAGGACGGCCCCGGCCAGCGCGGCAGCCACGCCGTCCGAGCCGCCCTGCACGCGCTCCCAGAGCGGCGCGTCCGCGCCGACGCCGCTGCAACATGCGGCGTCCTGGGTCAACTGGAGCTCTTGCAGCGCCAGCCGCCGCCACGGCGCCGCCCCTCTGTCGTCGGTCACACCGCTGGCAGGGGCAGGTCACGTGACCGTCCGACACTGGCAGGTCTGTGGAGTCTGTCCGTTGCTTTGTCTGCTGTTTGGTCCGTTTTAGCGTTGTGTTGTAATGGCCTCGGAGCATCCCTGTTTTCTCCGCCCTTTTCATTGGCAAGCGTCCGGGCATTCAGTCGTAGCCCTGGACCTGACTTATTGATTGATAATCATGTTTCGGCGTCCACCGTCCATGTCTGTCCATGTCATCTTCAGTCTGTTAGTGTTGACTTGTGCGCTGCATGCACCGTCTTTTGTCCACGTAGCTATGCACACTTCATTTGATCGATGTCTCATTTGACACTGGGATCACTAGCTGGTCTGCTGGTCTTGTCGATTATTGTGCTAGATGAGTTTGTAGGTACCGCTGGTCATGAAGCGTAGGATGATATGGTATTTGTCGGTTTGTTGTTTGTTTTGTTCACTGTCTGTTCACGTTGTCAATGTTGCCAGTGGTCAGTTAGTGGTCAAAAATGATACTCAGTGAAGTCAGCATTGCTCTGAATAATGCGTCACGTTCGTACATGCGTTAACAGCAGGCGGAAACTTTCGGAGCACGAGTTACAAAAGCTCAGAATACTGAATCATTACTGAGTTGATCACTTATTGTGGTTACACCAGAAATACTTGACTTTTGGACTGGCCAGAGAGCTGTGCTCCAAATGCCTCCAATTACTATTTGGCGCCTGCAAGTTCGATACGGCGGAACAAGGAGCAGTCAAAAGAACCACATCTTAACGGTTAAGCCTCGAGTTAAAGATCCTGGTTTGCGTAGCAGTGTCAGCGGTTTTAATAGACTTGATCCGCTGTAGGGGTTGATTGATCGCGCACTGGCAGCTCTGTTTCGCTGGCTGTCTTCAGAGGCTAACACCGTCTTATCTACATCAGCGCGGCGTCATCTGCCGCCCTCTCTTGACTTGACTTGACTGACCAATACTTACCCTAGTAGATCCCGGTGCCCCAGCCAGTCTCCAACAGATTCTGGCACTCACCGCTGCATGGTGTTCAAAACTCACTCAACTAGATGGCGGTGCTCCAGCCAGTCGCCAGAAGATCCCGGCACTCACCGCTGCATGGTGTCCAATACTTGCACCGGGGCTTACGGAAACCTCACTAGCGCATTCCACCACCCACGTAAGCCAGCCCCGATGGTCCTCATACCCAGGAGATCCTCACGCTGATGCAGTCAATAGTTCCCCATGTTCAGCCATTGTGCCAATGGCCACGCCAGTGGGCCCTGATTCTGTTCAAGTCCTAGCACTCGTACTCACAGCAGTAGGTCTCGGTACCCAGTGCAGCGTGTGTCCGTACTCACAGCAGTAGGTCTCGATACTCACGACAGCGGGTCTCGGTACCCAATGCAGCGGGTGTCTGTACTCACAGCAGTGGGTCTCGGTACCCAGTGCAGCGGGTGTCCGTGCTCACAGCATTGGGTCTCGGTACTCACGTCAGCGGGTCTCGATACCCAGCGCAGCGGGTGTCCGTACTCACAGCAGCAGGTCTCGGTACCCACCATAGCGGGTCTCGGTACCCAATGCAGCGGGTGTCCGTACTCCCGACAGCGGGTCTCGGTACCCAATGCAGCGGGTACCCGTACTCACAGCAGTGTGCCTCGGTACCCAGTGCAGCGGGTGTCCGTACTCACAGCACCGGGTCTCCGTACTCACGTCAGCGGGTCTCGCTACTCACGACAGCGGGTCTCGGCACCCAGTGCAGCGGGTGTCCGTACTCAGAGCAGCGGGTCTCGGTACTCACGTCAGCGGGTCCCCGTATGAGCCGGGGCGCCGATCCAGCTCTGACAGCGGGCCCGGCTGCATCTGCACGCCATTGACATCGGGCGGCGGCAGGTTAACCAGGCCAGAATGCACCACGCGGATGTCGTACGGAAAGTCGTCGCGCAGGTGCGGCGGCACGAAGGGCTCCGGCTCGGCAGGGGCCTGCGGCGGCTCGGCGGCGGCGCCGTGTCCGACCGCCGATGGCTCCCCGCGCCGTCGCTCCAACCGGCTCGGCGGCTCCATGTAGTCGGACCAGAAGGTCCAGTTCAGGTGGCGTGCCGCTCTCCCGGCCGGTGATCCATCCACCCCCGTCAACTCTGCCGTCGGCCACCCCTGAGCGGGAGGCATGGGGCCGTCCGCGTCCACGGCGGCGTCAGAAACAGAGTCCTCAGTCTCCTCTGCGGTCGCACCCGCAACTGGATCTTCACCTTCCTCCACAACCGAGTCAGCGGCGGAGCTCTCGACCTGCCCTGAGGGGACACTGGCGGCCCTCGAGTGTTCGGCCAGGGCCGCCGCCTGCTGCTGGAGCTGCTGTACGTAGGTCTCGGCCGAGGCGGCGGCGCAGCGGTGCAGCGTGGCCACGCTGTTGTCACCGCGCCACATGTTCGCGCATCCGAGCATTCTGTACCTGGGGGTAGCAGCCATAGAGTGATGCGTGCGCGGCGTGGGGTGAGCGAGGCGAGCGAGTGCGAGCGAGCTGTGACGGTGGTGCGGTCTGAGACAGCAGCGGCCGAGGGCGGCGCCGGTCGACCTGCTCAGGCGGGCCTGGAAGGCCGGCCGACGCCGCGCTCCGCTGACTGATGACGTCACGGCGCTGCGCCGACTCCCGGGCACGTGACTGATGTGACGGGTGCCCCGCCGGCGTGGGAGGCGGCCGTCGGCACCGTTGGGGCCCACCTGGCTGGGCGCTCCTCACGTCAGAGGCTGCCTCGTCAGGTGAAGCGGTCGCCTGTAACGGCAGCGGTCTCGACGCTCACCGCGCCGCGCTGGTCGGCCGGCACCCAGACCAGGCAGTGGAGGGGGCGGGGGTCGTGATGCACCCGTGCTGACGGGGGTGACGTGCGGCGGTGCAGAGCTTGCCCCGTGCTGACATGCCCATCCCTTGGAAATGTCACGCCATGCGCACGATGAAAGGGTCTCGGTTTTGGCATGACGCACAAGGGGACGGGGTTTGAAGGTACACTAAGAGGTTGTCCTATGCAGACGGCCAACTTAATGGATGCGTCAGTTTCATGCGCTCAAGCACAAAGTCAAGCCGTGCTGCAAGTTCTCTCCTCCATCACGAAATCGAAAATGTATGGTGTTAGCTTTCGTAGACCATGAAATATGTGAGTTACTGCACAAGTTCCGCAACGTGTGGGCGCAGATTTGCGTTGTAGCCTTAGAATAAGCACACTCCGGATACCTCACAAAGGTGTGCTGAGTTACAAACTAACAATGAAATACCGACACATAACTATCGGTTACCCAGACAAAAAAGCCTTCAATACCAATGGATGGAGCTATTGGTGTCACGTTGTAACAGCATCTAAGCGGCTATAAAGCACCAATAAAACAGGTGAATGTTTTCCATACACAAGATCATTGTCAATAACGACGGCGGATTTCCAACAATGACACCATTCATCTGACAATGGTGGCGATACGGTGTTTGTACTGGAACAATACAGAATTTAGTCTGTCTTCGCCTCGTTGGGTCAAACTATAAATGTGCTTCGACACACCTACGAAGGACCAAGCCTTACACAGAATGCATCTGCGCCAGTCATTCCCTCCTAGCAGTCGTAAAGACAGTCGTACACTTACTGTTTATGTTAAAGGCGGCCGCTTGCAGGAATCGGCTGCATGAGATACACTATCTGGTATCAAGCCTGAACAGCTGATAGACAGAATACAATATAATACAACCTCCAGACATTACAATCAGCATGCCAGGACGAAACGGATGATCGACAGATCTGCCAGACAATGAGTTTAATGTTACCGAGCGAGGCGAGCATGTGAATCATTCGATGTTGTTGGGTAGTCGTGGATGTTATTCCCCAACCGCTTCGGCTCTCCGTACGGTGTGCTTTCTTGCACCCCAAATGAGAGTTACAATAGGCATGCTATGTGGTGAGGAAAGGTTTCCTGTGGGCACCCATGGCAACAACGTCCAGTTATTTCAAGGTTTTCACACATGACGACAATATATCCACACCGTGAGTGACACGCACTTTGTCGTAATGCCACTTATAGATGTACTTGAGTCCCGAAAAAAATTGGTAGATCTTAAATGATGCTAATCCAAAGTTTCAAAAGGGCCTTGAACGGCTGAATTCATACTTATATATATACATATATATATATATATATATATATATATATATATATATATATAAGTATGAATTCAGCCGTTCACATATATATATATATATATATATATATATATATGGGCTTCATGGTTCACAGCCCGAGATCCAAACTCCAAGATTAAGCTCCTATCTGGGGTCTGCCTGCAGTTCCATTTTATTTGATAAGGGAGCTGTGGCCAACATTAAATTAGACAGCCTTCCGAACACAATAAAGCTGGGCAGAGGGTAACCAGATGCTGATAGTCCAGTCGCAGGAGGTTGCGCAGTAATTTCTCAAGTTCGGTATAGATACCAGACACCAGGTAATCCAGCAAACAGTTCGCGCTGACCTGACGTCTCGTTTTAGACATTACCCTCGTATCCCTCCTCCCCGAGTCCACTACAGTAATTGGAGTAAAATGACTGGGACTTACCGCTTGATGACCGCTTCGGCGAAATCCAGCACCGGGTACTGTGGCGTCTGCTTCTCAGTGGTCCCCTGGCGTTGGCGCCTGCGCGGCGGCCGACGGGGCCGCACTGGCGCCGTCACTTCCTCCAGCTGCTCATCCCCGCCCTCCGCGTGCTCGGCGTGCTCGGCGTGCTCGGCGTGCTCGCCGTGGCGTCGCAGCACGCCGCCGCCGCCGACTGAGTATCGACGCACATCCTGTTCGTCTGGCGCGCTGTTCGCGCTGACCAGGGTCGAACCCGTGCTCTCCAAGTCCTGCGGCAGGCCAGCCGCGTACCGGTAGACGAGATGCGCCGGCGGCTGGGGCGCGTGCCTCGCCCCCCACGGTCCACTCGAGGCGGCCGCCAGGCCAGCCAGCAGCGCGAGCAGGATGGCAGGCCTCATTCTGGGGACGTGGCCGAACCGCTGCGTTGTCGAAGGGCGACTGCCGGACTGGGCAGCGCCGGCCGCGGCCGAGGCGCGCCGCGACACGCTCCGCTGGCCGGCGCCCGGGGCCCGGTCCTGTCAGCGCGCCGCTGACCGCCGCTGACCGCCGCTCCCCGTTGCTGTGTCGCCGTGTGGCGGCGGCGTTCAGCGGCGCCGCTGCCACCGTCGCCGACGCTGTCGGAGAGGCGGGTGCGCGAGCTGCGTAGGGACGCCGGAGAGGCACTGCGTGGATCATCTGACGTCGGGGATGGATGCTGGGTGGGGTGGCGGAATGGTGGGGTCGCTCGAAGTCGGAGAAGAGCACTCTGGATGTGGAGGATCGGGCGGTAGGGTCAGCCCATCTCAAGGGAGGGGCTTTAGAGAGGACAGGTAATGCCATGAGGTCACCCGAGGTCAGGGTGTGGTCAACCGGATGAAGGAGTGGTGCGATCATTTGAAGTCGGAAAGGGCAATGAAACGGGAAAAGCGATGAAATGTTAGCTGAAATCCGGCAAGGCTCATCAGGTGTCAAATTAGACAGGCATGTATATCGCAGCTCAGCAGAGCTGTATGGCGCTTAGATAATCTCAAATCATGGTTGTGTCACATCCTCCAAATGCGGAGCACGCAGCTAAGATTATCACAGCTTAGTCAGAGATCGCAAGTCTTTTGTGACGTTATGACGCGTTGCTGGAGGACACCCAAAACCGACAAAGCGTCATGCATTGTCTTTGTAAAATATAGACTGCAGCTATGACTAGTCAGCACATACGTGCCAGCTCATACCTATACCTCCCCCTCAGGAACATGGATACCAATGTCTAAAATCGGTTGGTGGGTTCGAGCCGATGAAGTTGATCTAACCTACAACTAACATTTCTCCCTGAATCGCTGTTACTTCAGTGTGGGTTACTGACGTTAAAAAACTTGTTTAATATTCGGTCGATTCCAAAACCTTTCATGCTGGGGAATGACTTCTGTTTGAAGCCGACGAAGCCGTGACCTGGCATGTAGGGATGAAAGGCTATACATGCTTTGTGTACACTGTTAGGATGTCCCTTTATAAAAATCAGGCTAAAATACACCACATTCTGAACGGACATGGAGCTGCCTGAAAGGGCATGGAAGGCTGGCTGGTGACTGCACAGACACCGGAGAGATCGTTAGAAAACGTAGCGCTACCAACGCTTTGCACGTGTTGGGAGCTGCACAGGCACGAAAGGCTTTGATCTCTTGGGGTTTTGGCGCTACGGGTCGGGGTCTGCATGCTAACAATAACTGACCTTCAGCATACCAAGAGATTGTGGTTCAGAACTTGATCACTAAAGCATTCAGCTGCCTCCCATTGGCCTGGTCACCAGTGGTCTGCTGCTCGTTAACCTGACCTTCAGTGACCGGCTGCTCACTGACCTGGTCACCATTGAGATGTTGCTTATTTACCTGGTCTTTAGTGGCTTGCTGCTCATTGATCTGGTCTCCAGCGACCTGCCGCTAACTGACCGGTCACCAGTGGCCTGCCGCTCACCGGTCCTGGTCACCAGTAGCCTGCCGCTCACCGGCCCTGGTCGTCAGAGACCTGCTGCTCACCGGGCCCGGTGACGTGAGACCTGCCGCTCACCGGGCCTGGTCACTAGTGGCCCGCCGGTAACTGGCCGGTTACCAGTAGCCTGCCGCTTATCGGCCCTGGTCACCAGTAGCCTGCCGCTCACCGGGTCCGGTCACCAGTGACCTGCGGCTCACCGAGCCTGGTCACCATTGATCTGTTGCTCATTGACCGTGGTCGCCAGTGACCTGCTGCCCATTGACCGTGGTCGCCAGTGACCTGCTGCTCACCGGGTCCGGTCACCAGTGACCTGCGGCTCACCGAGTCTGGTCACCATTGATCTGTTGTTCATTGACCGTGGTCGCCAGTGACCTGCTGCTCACCGGGCCCGGTCACCAGTGACCTGCTGCTCACCGGGCCTGGTTCCCGCCGCCAGTAGCCGCGGGCCCATCGCGCCGCCACTGACCGCCGTTAGCTGCCGCAATGGCGTGCTCCATCTCGCCGGCGAGCCGTGCTGCTCGGGCTGGGAGCGGCCGCACCTGGCCCGCTTTGTGCCCGGCGCCTGCCGGCCGGCCGCGTCGCAGGTGAGATGACGCTAATGTGTTTGTGCTCGCGCCCGGCCGCCGCGCGCCGCCGCGTCAGCAGCCGATGAGACTCCGCATACAGGCCGCCGGTCGGCCGACGAGGGGGGAGAGGAGCGGGGGGGGGGGGCATGACGGGAACCAATCGCATCAAATGGCTGGATGGCGAGGGGTGGCGGTGAGCGAAATGTTAGATCACTGCTTATAGAAGGGACAATGAGCATAAGTCTTATGGTATGTCAAAATGGAGTAAATCTTAGTGAAAGAGTGGGATTTGTAAATGTAGCCCACAAGGTGCATCATGCCAAATGAATCCAGCATATTTTTGAAATTTTATAGAACGCATGCTCAATGTGCAACAATGCGAAGGCTTTTAGATCAAACAAATGACACTTATTGCCGGATTAAAATCTTTCAAGCAGTGATTTCCCGTAACACTTTGAACGCACAAAATGTCAATGCTCGATGTTCTAAAATTACACTGTAACCGAATCTGCACTGACGTTTTTCTTGCCCACTCTCATCTGCAGTCATCAATCACATCTAGGGATAATCACCTCACAGGTGAGCATATACGCAACAGCCGACGACTACAGTTTCGGGACCCTGACGTCATTCTCTGGCATTTCATGAGACCAGTGCTCGGTCGGAATTTATTCGGAAGCGCTAGCCCTATGCTACATGAACCGGTGCCTTTCGACTCCGATGACATGAGGAGGGCCAGTGTTGACAGAGGCTGCCGGTAGCGTAGTGGTTAACGAGTCCGCGTTCATCACTGCGCGTCTGGGAAACCAGAGGTACGGGGCTCGATTCACCGCGGTGCCCGCCCTTCCTGCCAAGGTGAGAGGCCGGTGACGCCGTACATCCTCAGCAGCTGAATGCTTCGCAGAGCCTCAGTGACAACAACATGCCGCCAATGTATATGGTATATGGTATATGTATACAATGGCCAATGTATATATATATATATATATATATATATATATATATATATATAGGGACCAAGCCTTTATACCATTGTTGTATATATATATATATATATATATATATATATATATATATATATATATATATATATATATGCAACAATGGTATAAAGGCTTGGAGAAGTGTCTCTCCTACCACCACCACCCACTGATTTTGAATTTTCGCCACTACACTGTAAGTCCTTGCTGATATCTGTAACTTCCCTGCGCCAAGTCCGTGTCATTTCACGGGGCGGGCAAGTGGAAAGCGACCGGTGCATGCACGCACAACTGGGCACCGTAACGACCCACACGCTGGCCTCGAATAGCCGGGCGGTGGTCAAAGAAACCAGGGCGCACGCCGGAGAAACGCACCGAAGCGGTGTCCCCGGAACTCATGCACCAGCGGGCGACGGCGATCAGGCCGGGGTGTTTTCACTCGGGGCGAGGGCAGGGATTGCCGGACTGGGGTACGGCCCAGCACTGGATCAAAAGGCGGCTGGGCGTTTGATGGCTGCGGGCCCCGGCCGACCGGAAGGCCGTCTGGGGGCCGTCCTCAGCCACCGGGGAGGGCCCTGACGGCTGCCACACCCGAGGTTCGCCGGATAGGGCCCTGGCGGCTGCCACACCCTAGGTCTGCCAGAGAGGGCCCTGACGGCTGCCACACCCGAGGTCTGCCAGAGAGGGCCCTGACGGCTGCCACACCCGAGGTCTGCCAGAGAGGGCCCTGACGGCTGCCACACCCGAGGTCCGCCGGAAAGGGCCCTGACGGCGGCCACACCCGAGGTCTGCCAGAGAGGGCCCTGACGGCTGCCACACCCGAGGTCCGCCGGAAAGGGCCCTGACGGCGGCCACACCCGAGGTCTGCCAGAGAGGGCCCTGACGGCTGCCACACCCGAGGTCTGCCAGAGAGGGCCCTGACGGCTGCCACACCCGAGGTCCGCCGGAAAGGGCCCTGACGGCGGCCACACCCGAGGTCCGCCGGAGAGGGTCCTGACGGCTGCCACACCCGAGGTCCGCCGGAAAGGGCCCTGACGGCGGCCACACCCGAGGTCTGCCAGAGAGGGCCCTGACGGCTGCCACACCCGAGGTCCGCCGGAAAGGGCCCTGGCGGCTGCCACACCCGAGGTCCGCCGGAGAGGGTCCTGGCGGCTGCCACACCCGAGGTCCGCCGGGGAGGGTCCTGGCGGCTGCCACACCCGAGGTCCGAGGCCGCTGTTGGCGCTGACGCTGTTGGTGAGGACTGGCGGCTGTCCACTCTGAAGATGAAGGCTGCTCCTCGACGTTCGGATTCTGTATTTCGGCCGTGCTGAGAGCTGGACGAACAGCAACACGCTAAACAGACGAGCAGCAGCACACTAGACGCATCGTGTTTACATCACTACAACGTGAGCTGATCATATGACGATACGGCTGCATAGAAAAGTAGAGCAGTTCATTCTCAAAAGGCGGGTCTGACTGTTGCATACAAAGCATTCAACTGTTGACATGGGGGCAAATATTCAGCCAATTTCTTTCGTGGAATGCGCTATGGTGCTGCTATCACACTGAAAAATCCGGCGAGGATTACATGCCGCATTCAGTTCATGCTAAACAAATCACAAACATGAATGCATTCAGAGTCAAATGACCTTATCAAGAATTGTGCCGCAATGAAACGTAATCTACATTTTGGTGCGAGCAAGCCAACAGTAAAACACATACAAGTGAACGCACGCATATTAATTATATAAGTCCGATGCAATCTATCCAAGTTTGAAGTCCCTTTCATGACATCTCCGTTGGCAGCATGCACTGCAATGGCTGTCCGGTAACGGCGCTAGGGCAGGCCGGACTTGTCCGGTCACGGCGCTAGGGCAGACCGGACGTATGCGGTGATGGCGTTAGAGCAGACCGCCGCGAGACAGACAAGGGAGCAT